GGGCTCAGAGTGGTCTCTCTGCCCCCCCCACCGACTGCTCAGCCCCAGCACTTCGTGGAGTCATAGATTACACACAAGTTTTCTCTCCAACTGCTGCAGCTGCTTGATGTTGCAAGGTGTCCACTCCTGTTGCTCTCAGGGGTGTCTGTGGGGTGATCAGAAAAATGAAGACGGGGGGCCTCAGCCAGGCAACGAAGCCCCCCCCCCTTGTTGACCTGCACTTCCTTCCCAGCAGAGGCCCCTATTGTCCCTGGGGAAACTGTAGGTGAATTTCCCAGAAAAGGAAGATGAGGCGCCTTGAGAAATTGCCCTGGAGAAATTGCAGGGGAAAAGCAGAAGCAGGACCCTCCCTTGGACACATGCCTGACTCTGCCAATACTTGCAGTTGTGAGTCACATGGCGGAGGGCGCTCAGCCTGGATCCAGTCCAGCACTGAAGGCAGCCTCGCCAGCAGCTCTCCTGGAAGCTGCTCCCTGCCCTTCAAGCAGGAGCTGTGAACATGGGAGCAAATGGAGACCACCTCTGAAGAGGGGAAGACGACCCCTTTCAGAAACAAAGAAGGAATTTCTATGGAACTGCTAGTCCCACCAACCCAAAGTTGCTCTGTCTCAGAGGGATTCAGTTGGGCCCTTCCCTCCCACCCAGACCCTCCTCAAGGAGGACCAGGAAGATTGCATCATCCTCAGGGGTGACCGAAGAGTTTCCACTCCGGCGGGGGCCCAATCCTCCAGTTCCTCCAGGCGCTCGCTTTCTCCACAAGCTTCCCAAGTACAAGAAAGAGGGCGACTGGTCGGTGGCTGCCTAAGACAGTCAGGCCACGCAAAGTCTTCTCGAGCTGGGAATCAAGAGGGAGCCCTCCGGGTGCGATGGAAGCACCCCTCCCAGCTGACTGCATCCTTCCACCTCCTTCCACCTCCCCAACTGCCCCTTGGGGGACGGACATCCAACCGAGAAGAGGCACAGCCAGCGCAGCAGGGACCCCGTCCACAGAGACCCAGTCGGGGGTGACAGGGCCCCCCTTTTCTCTCAAGGAAGCTTCAAAGCAGGAGAATTTGGGGTTCTGGGAGAAGCTTCCTTGTTAGAGATTAGAGGTTCTTCAGTGCCACCTACTGGCCTATGGAAGCACAACGGTCATTCCTTACTTGGAAAAAAAACAGAACAGGTGAAGGTATTGAATATACCTGAGTCCAAGAAAACGTTTAATCATCTTGTGGGATAAAGACTAAACCATTTTCCACCTCACACCTCATGTCTCCTCAACACCTCAAGGAAAAGCTGCAGAGATGGGAATGATACCCCACAAAATGGATGGTGTTGAGGGTGGATTATTCTCAAAACTTGCTGTTTAGCTTCCGAACATTTCGTTACCAGGCTAGGTAACATCATCGGGAGAACTTCAGTTAAAGTGTATTGTTTAGGGGGAAGAATACTTCTGGGGGGTCAAAATCAGCACATGCAGGTTCACTAACTGAATATGATCAATATCCTTTTAAGTGCATCTTTGAGGAATGCCCCCACCTGACAGAAACCACCCCCCCTGTAAGTTTTGTGGAATACATATTTAGTTGCCTTCATTTGTGGCAGAGGGTTCAAAGTTAAAGCATGTTGCTCAGCCCACATTCAGCCCGCAGCCCCCCCTTTCAGGAATGCGCCGACATGCACGCAAGTGTCTTCAGCTGCTGTGAGCGAGGACTCCATCGTGAGATTGGCTCCAACCCTCCTATCTTTTCACAAGGGCTAAAGGCCTGGCTCTGGCAGTCGCTTTGGGGCCCCAGTGGTGGAACAGTGCAATAGGGCTGGTTGATTGAATAACAACAGATCCCACTTGCCCCCCACCCTCCCCCATGTGTTTTGGGTGTTAATGTCTGATTTTAACTTTTTATGTTTTAACTGTATATGTAACTGTAAGCCTCCCAGAGTTACCTGTGGTAAGATAGGTGGCCAATAAATTTTATGAATTTTATTAAATAAGTACTCATGGCGGCATGGCCCACTCCTCATACCGGGGAGTGAATGGGCAGCCCTTTAAAAGGCGGGAAGGGGCCTCCCTCTCACGGAGGGGGGAGGGCTGTGGAGATACACCACTTCAGCTGGGAGACAAGATTTGGGAAGCTCCCGCCAGGCTAAATGCCAAGAACGGGATCCAGGCAGGGTAGGGCAGCCAGGTTGGGGGTTGGGCGCATGCTCAGGCAGGGCTTCAACACTCCGTTGGTAACCATGGCTTGTTTAAGGGGTGGGGACACACAATCAGCTACAATCAGCTGCGATCCACAGGGGCTGGTCTGCACCTGTGCTCAGTCAGCTAGGTGGATGGGGAAACTCCGCCCCACTGCCTCCCCCGCCCCACCCCCTGCCGTGGCCACAGGCTTCCATGGTGCAAGATGCAAGGGGGAACCCCTTTGAACGTTTCCAAATGGAAAGATGGAGTAGGAACCGTTCGGGTAGCCCAGCCAGTTTCTCCGCCCCACCCCTTGGCCTGAAGCCTCCCAATGCCGGCTGAGGAGAGGCCAAGCTAGAGGCGCCTGCTGGGGAGTCTTCTGCCTGGGTGGCCAAGGGCTGCTAAAGAAACGCGGCTTGACCCCAGAGGGAGCAACTACTCCAGAGGAAACCCACTGAGGTGGCCTGGCCACCCAGAGACCGAAAGGGAGGGAAGGGAGACGAGCGAGCGACTGGGTCAAGAGAAAAGGGGAGACGGGGCCCTTGCTCACAGGGAGCCCAAATGGATGCAATCACTTCTTTTCTGTACCTCCTTTACTTTTCTCGCTCCAGAAGAGAGAGAAGGAACACCCGTTGGGGCACATACTCCACGGGGGGGGGGGACCCCTGAGTGGAGCAGGAGCTGCCCAGCCATCCCCACACGTGGTCTGAAGGGCTGCCAAGAGCCACGAGGCCTCTTATCATTTCCCACATGGCAGGGAGCAGGTGGATCAATAGCTTTATTGTGAGCATAACCCAGCCTGCAAGTGCTAAATGCCAAAATGCTAAGGTCCAACTGGGGGAAACGCGAGAAAACACACACAGCCCGCGGAGGCGGCACCCACGCGGGACGCCAAGCCAGGAGCCCCGCAGGTGAGAACGGAGGAGGAGGAGGAGGAGGAGGAGGAGGGAGCCAACAGCAGCCAGCAAAAGCGCAGCGCAGAAAGGGAGCCGAGTCCCCGCTCCCGCCCGCCCTCCAAGAGGACTGGAATCTTGGCCGAGATGAATGACCTGGAAGGCATCCTCTGAGCTGTAGGAGCGCCGAAGGGAGGGCGCGAAGGCGTTGCTTCCCTCCCCCGGGGGATCTGCAGGGGCGGAGGGCTTGCGGGGCTGGGGGCAAGAGCAGGGAGGGGGCATCTCAGGGGAAGCGACTTCATTTCGGAGCGTTTGGGGAGCTGCGTCGCGCTCCTTTCCCGCTCGGCTCGCCGGTGCGAATCAGCGGCTGTTGGGATCCAGCTGAAAAGTTTCGCTCCCCGGTTTCTCTCTTCCGAGGGGAGCGACGCGGCTCCTCCCTCGGCCTCTCCCGGAGAAAATCGGGAGTTTGCTCACGTTCCCAAAGTCGCAGTTACGCCGCGAAGGGCGCCCGTCCCGGACCTGGACGAGGGAGGAAAGAGCAGAGGCGACTCTGGCCGGACCCCAGGTGGTTCCTCTCCGCAGGAAGGTAAAGTTGGGAAGTTCGGAAGAAGTTTTTTAAAAAGCCAGGAAAGTAGCGCGACTTGCTCGTCTTCAGGGGAGAGGAAGCTTTGTTCAGCTAGGCTGCAGCCCCCTCCCCGCCGCCGCCCCCCCCCCAGCCAAACTGCGCGGGGGTTCTTGCAGCAAAGGCGGCTGGGCTCGGGCCAAGTCTCTATAAAACCTGCAGGGGGGAGGCAGGGCGGTCTCCCCACCACCCCCCAATTAAAAGAAATCCCGGCATTGCCAGACTATTGTTTGGCACGGAGGCTGCTGCTGCTTTCGAGTTGCAGAGCCAAATTCTCCCCCCCCCAGCCCCCCTTTCGCTGTCCTTGTGCACCAAGGCCTGATGCCTTGGTGGTCGCCATGACAACCCTTCCCCAGGTCTAAAGGCCCGGGCAGGGCGGGAGGCCCCTGCAAATGCTTTTGTGGGGCAGTCCTTGAAGGGGTCCTTCTGTGGGAAGAAGGCTGTTGCTGTGCCCCCCCCCCTTTCTGGCCCTCTTCTTGGCACATGCAACAGCTGTCAGGTTTGTGGGGGTTTGTGGACTTCAACTCCCAGAATTCCCCAGCCAACTATGCCCACAAGGCTTAAAGTGCCAGGTTTGGGGACCCTTGCCTTAGTGGGTGCTGCATACGTAGGCCACGTCTCAGTCCTTTGCAACTAGGGTGTCCCTGACGGTTTAAAAATCACAGTTTGCCCACTGCAGTAAAGCAGAATGAGATCGGGTGTTGCTTTAGCAGCCCCAGCCTGCCTGTGGAGGGCTTTCGGGGTTAGTAGTTAGCTTTTAATTGTTGGATTAAGGAAAAAAACATGTTGCTAACTTGCCTCGAGCATTCAGCCGAGCAAAAATCCAACATTCATAATTTGGTTTGTGATATGAGATCTAGGGGATTATGCTCAAGCAACCATGTTTGGGGCACAGCAGGAAGGCCCCTCCCTGCACCCCTTCTCCCCTCTGGGGGCAGGTGAGGGTGATGCCCAGCCTTCCTTTGCGGGCACAGAAGACGCCCGGCTCCCTCGCCAAAGGCTGCACCCCAGCGGCTCTTCCAGCAGGAGATGATCCCTTCCACTTTCCCTTTTCCCCGCCTGGGAGAAGATGGCGGGTTAAATGGCTTTCTAAACTGCCTCTGTGCATTGCGGGCTTGCCCCAACCTGCCGCCTTGGGGTGGGGTGGCTGGGCAGGGCTCACCTGGCCAGGTTTCACAGGTTGGGATCAGCCTCCTCTGGGAATCTGCAGGATGAGTCAGGGGATCTGGCTGAACTCGCCTCCCGCTCCTCGCCAGACAGTCCCCGCAGTTGGGGGCAGGTGGGGAAGAGCAAGGACCTGCCTGCTTTTCCTTGCAGGGTGGGGCTGCCCCTCCCCAGGAAGTGACCGACTATGGGGAAGAGCGGGGGCTGCTGCTGCCGCCAACGCTTCTGCAGCGCCTGCCTGCTGGGACTCTTCAGCTGCCACTGGACTCACAAGAAGGGCCTGAAGACCAGCAAGGTGTGTGCACCCATGGGGGGGTGTCTGAAAGCCCCCCCCCCACTCTACAGGGTCCCTGGGGGGAACGGCAGAAGGCCCACCCCATGTCCCTGCAACTGCGAGGAGATGCCCCAAGGGTCTCTGGGGATGGGCTGCAGACCCACTCCGGTGCTTCAGAGTCTCCCTCCCCCCAGATCCACTCCCCCAAATAAGCTGGGCCTTGGTTACCCCACCCGATCCTCATGGAAAGCAGGGTGGGCTGCCTGAAGGGCTGAGGACACCTCCCTCCTGGGGCGGCCCCTCCTCTGCCCCCCCTGTAGCCATGGGGGGAAGTGCCCTTGGGGGGGTCCTGGGATGGCAGCGCCAGTTGAGCCCCTCCTCCGCTCCATCCGCAGTGTGACTGCGCCTGGTTCTTCCTGCTCTTCTGCGTTGGCCTTCTTGCTCTGGCCTGGCTCTACGTGGCCCTCGTCACACTCAACGATTTCCACAACCTCAACGAGTGAGTAGAAGGCGCCCTCTGCCCCCCCCCACATTGTGCCCCTTTCTGACCTTTCGGTAAGCTTTCTCTGCCCCCCCCCTTCTGCACAGGTTTGTCTTCCAGAAGACAGAATGGTGGCTGGACTGGTCAGTGGTGATGCTCTCTGTGACCGCCACTCTGGTCACCTACTCCTCTCTGCTGCTGGTAAGCCCCCCCCCTTTCCATCCTTCCTAGCACACTAGTCCCCCTCCCCTCCTGGCCCAACTTTGCAATGGTTAGGGAGTGAGGCTCCCTGGTTCTGGGGGGTTTCTGTATCGCCCCCCCCCCTTGCTGATGGTGTGGGAGGATCTTCGGGATATCTCTGTGCTATAAGCTAAATTCTGTCCCACAATTTGGACTGCAATTCGTGGGGAGGGGGCAGGAGTGTTGCAGCAGCATCCAACAGAATTCTCTCTGCAACATTGAGAGGGCGATATTATACTGGCACAATGGAGCCCCGGTTCACTCTGACGAATGGGCAGCCCTGTTTCTCCAGTTCAACTTGGACAAAGTCAGGTGGCAGAGCAGGTGGGCAAGCCTCCCAGAAGCCAGAAGAGGGGAGGGGTGCTGAGAAGGAGGGTCCCTGTTTAGCATTTGGGCATCTCAGGCTCAGAATGGAGGGCAGGAGAGTGAAATAGGCAGACAAGGACAGGGGTGCTCATTTTATAAGTCGGGTCTGCATGTTTCCTGTTCTTGGTGTGTGGTCTTCGCCCACCTTGACTGGACTACCTGGGACTGAGGGAACTGGGGTTCCAGCCACATCCAGAAGGGTGAGGGTTGCATAAACTCCATCTCTGTTCAGGGTCTTTCCAAGTGAGGTTTTCTTGCCCCAAGCAGCTACTGTATGTGGGGGGAGGGTATTCATATCTTCCTTTGTTTGCATCTCAGATTTTGGCCCTCTGCCTTCAGCTCTGCCATCAGCCCCTGAAGCTGCATTGGCTCCACAAGGTAAGACTACGGTATTTTGCTTGCCTCCTTTCCTGTCCTTGGGCAGAAGCCATGAGGGTTCCTGCTGGGCTCGGTTCATGGTCTCCCTCTGGGATGCCCTCCCCTTGATTGTCCCTTGCCAGCCACACCAGCAGGCCCTGCCCACATAGGACCTGGTTTTCTTCCTGGACAGAGGTTCTTTGGGTGACTTCCGGGGCCTTGGAGATGTCTTCTCTGTTTCTTCCAGGGCCTTCTGATCCTGACTGCGCTGATAGTAGTGACTGCTTTTGTGGGGCTGGAAATTCAGTGGTCGGAGCAGTGGGAGAGTGCCCACATTGCTCTACAGGTAGGAGCCCTAAGAGTTGCTCAGGGCTGCCCTTTGCCTCCTGCTTTAAGCCAAGGCCCATGCAGAGGTATCTGTTCTACCCTCTGTTCCCCCTCGGTTAGGGGACTGGAGGCTAAATCATACTAAGAACGGTTGCTGGAATTGGGTGTGTCTAGTTTAATGGAAAGAAGGACTAGAGGAAACAGGATAGCAGTCTTCCAATATCTCAGAGGTTGCCACAAAGAGGACGGGATGGAGGTCAACCTATTTCTCCAAAGCACCTGAAGGCAGGACAGGAAGCAACAGATGGAAACTAACCAAGGAGAGAAGCAACCTGGAACTAAGGAGAAACTTCCTGACAGTGAGAACAATCAACCAGTGGAACGACTTGTCTCCAGAAATTGTGGGTGCTCCAAAACTGAAGGTTTTCAAAAAGAGATTTGACAATCATTTGTCTGACATCACTGAAGGTTTTTCAGAACAGACTGGACAACCACTTGTCTGGAATGGTAGAGGGTCTCCTGCTTGAGCAGGGGGTTGGACTAGAAGACCTCCAAGCTCCCTTCCAACTCTGTTATTCTGTTCTTGCCCCACCTGCTGGCTGAGCTGCAGCAGATGACTTCGCGTCTCATACAGGGAGAGATGCCCAGTTGCTTCCAGGCCCGCCCGGAGAATGGAGGCTGGGCAGCCACAGGGTGGGCATGTCCCGGGTCTGGATGAGCGTCCCTTTAGGCTAATGGTCAGCCCTTTGGCTCCATGAAATGGGCAGGCTGGGAGCGCCCAGCGAGAGGTTAAGGTTAAGGTTAAGGTTAATTTAATTTGTATACCGCCCTTCTCCCGTAGGACTCAGGGCGGTTCACAGCATATTAAAAACACAAATACAATATACAGGATACAAAAAATCATACAAAAATACACAAAATAACCCCACTAAAACCTAATTAAAAGCCAAATATTGATTGCTGTATTCCCATTAAAATTACTTTTTAAAAACGTCCCTACCTAAAATCCCTACCTAAAATCCTCCCTAGGTCAGGNCCGCTTGCTGGAAAAGCCATGTCTTGAGGGCGCGGCGGAAAGTAAGGAGATCCGGAATCAGAGACAACTATGTGCCCTTTAGCAGGGAAGACTCTCCAAGACAGGCATGCCACAGGACCCAAATCCTTGTCTGGGGACAAAAAGTCCAGGAAGAGGGAAGGGGCAGGTTCTGGTTGGTGGAGAGCAGCAGGAGAGACAATCTCAGAAGGACTCCGTTTGCCAATCCAAGGGATAGTGTGGCTTTTCCTTCGAGCCCCCTCCTGACCCAGCTGCCCTTCTCCCTAGTCCTGGGAGGATTCCCAAACTGTGGCCCGCCTGGGCCAGCCTTCTCTTGGTGCCCAGGGCCCTTGGAAAGGCCAACCACCTTGTATTGTGTCCTGCCAGGCAACCGGCCCCTTCCTGCACATCGGAGCAGTGGCGGGCTTGACGATGCTTGCCTGGCCAGTAGCAGCCTGCTTCTACCACATCTCCCATGCAGGTACTGAGGGTGGGGGATGGTGGGATTGTTCCTTATGAAAGCCTGGTTGGGGGGCAGCCCTTGGGCGTGGTTCCACGGTGAACTTGGGCACCCTAACTCTGACACACAGGTGCAGCTTCCTCCCAAGCTGTTAAAGTGATGCCTGGAATTTGGGGGTCTCGGATGTAGGGTCCCCAAGTGTATGGTGGTGCCGTTTCCTTAGACTCTCCGGGCAGCATTGAAAGAGGGAAACAGAGCAGCAGTCCCACATTATGGACTGGCATATTCCAGCCGGATGCTAGGAAAACCTTCCTGAGTGCAAGAGCGGAACACCTGGGGCGAACCCCAGGGGGAGATGGTGGGCTGCCCTTGGCTGCAGGCATTCAGTCAGAACTGGGCAGTCTTCTGTTGGGGCTGCCCCGATTTGGATACCAGGCAGGCCTTCAGCCCAAGGGCTGCTGCCAACCCTACCATGCTAGGGATCGGGCAGGGGGAGCAGATCCCTAGGATTAACAGCAAGATGAAGAGCAGTCAGCTCTCACAGATGGCAGACAGCTGGTCTGGGGATCCAGTCACCGTCTTCAAGGGGACCAAGAGCCCCCACTGACTGCTTGGGGCCCTCTTCCATTTGTGTTGCTGCAGCTCTCCGGGTGCTTCTCCTGCTCTTGTATCTGGGCGCAACGCTGGCTTTATACCTGGCCCCCCTGGGCATCGACTCACCCTGCTTCCTGGAGCAGAGCCAGCTTCCTCCCAAACCAGCCCTGTTTGGGCACCGTGGGGCTCCCATGGTAAGTCCCTCCCTCTCCATTCCATCTCAGTCCTGGAGTGAGGCTGGCCAGGCTCCTAGGAAGGAGAGCCTGCAGAAGCATTTCAAGAGGCTGGAATATCTGGGTGCTTCTCCTGATCAGGGCCACTGAGAATTGTACATGCAGAGCCTGAACAAGAATGGAGCGCCAGCTGGAAGGTGGTGCTAGGATCCCCTTTCTGGATGAGTTTCTGGAGTTTTAGGGAAACAGGAACTACCTTCAGCTGTCTTCCCCTCCCGTTCCAGATGTGTCAGAGCTCACTGACTGTATTCCCAGTGTCTGCACTGGGGAGGACTCTGGGGAGTGGAAGCCCAACATACCTGGAGTGCACCAGGTTGGCGCAGCTCTTTTGAGGGCTTCCTCCTGAACCCAGCAGGTCTCTTTCCACCAAGACAGGCGTGTCCTTAAAACAGCAGCAGCTTTTCCATGCTGACTTTTACAGCCTCACCTTGCTGGGATTTTTCTGCCTTTTCGTCCTGGATTAAATGGCATAGGATATCCTGCTTGTGCAGGGGGTTGGACTAGAAGACCTCCAAGGTCCCTTCCAACTCGGTTATTCTGTAAGACATTAGGAAGATGTCCCAGCTCCGCCTCTTTCTCCTAAGAACCCTTCGGCCTGCCAAAATTGTTCCACCTGCAAGATGATGTGGAACCCCCTCCTGGAGAGCTGGGCGGTAGGTTCCCCAGGCTCTGGCTAGACGTCTCAAGGGGGGATCCCAAACCCTCCCGCTTCACCTTCCTTCCGCCCTCTCCAGCTGGCACCGGAGAACACCATGATGTCCTTCCAGAAGGCCGTCAACTGTGGCCTGAGTGTCTTAGAAACGGATGTCCGAGTGAGGTAAGAGATGGGCTGAACAGTGGTGGCTCTGTTGGAAGATTTATGCAGGAAGGGAATTCCTGGCTTCAGGAGGCACCAATCTAGAGGGTCCCTCATCCCCCCCCCTCAGGACAGGTCCAGGATCCAGGTATTTTCTCCTTTTTTCACTCCCAGTGCCGATGGGATCCCTTTCCTCATGCATGATGAGACACTCTTACGGACCACAAATGTCCAGGAGGTCTTCCCCACCCAAGCCCACGCCAAAGCCAACACCTTCAGCTGGACACAGCTGCAGCAACTTGATGCTGGCAGCTGGTTTTTGCAGGTGAGAGCAGGATGGTGCCGCTTGAGCAAAACATGGTTTGATTAGGATTGGTTGGGTTGAACATCTGGCTTGCTCATCTGGAGTTGGTTGATATTGGGGGGGGGGGGTGAACCACCTTGGATTCTGTGGATAATGGTTGACAGGGAATGTCTGGATCAGAAGCAGATGGAAAAGGAGAGTTTTCTGCACCTGCACAAAAGCAAGTAGCAGCCCAAGGAGGGCATTGTGGCAGAGGTCCTGACTCTTGAGAAGAACTTTCCGTGCATGCCGAGAAGCTGGATCTGCATGGAGAGTCCAGCAGACGAAAAGTGGCCCCTCCAAGCCCAGTGCATGATTTAACCTGGGTTGCTGTACAACGGCTGGGCTGATCCACCTCCCTTTCCTCTACCAGAAGCATCCCTTCCTCACAGCCTGGAGCCTTTCGGAAGAAGAGATGGCCCAGGCCAGGAGGCAGCACGTTGTGTCTCTGAAGGAGCTGCTGGCAGAGGCCAAGAGGCACCAGGTGTCTGTCATATTTGATCTGATGCCACTGGAGGACCCCCACTATGAGCGCCTGGTCAACATCACAGTGGAGACAGTTCTCCAATCGGGCATCGGCCAAGAGCTGGTGAGTCTTCCCTGTGCCGAGTGAGACAAACCCCTCTTCTGAGCAGCACCCAAACGTGCAGAGATCATATGAGGCTAGAGAAAGGGAAGTTGCAGGTCCCCTTGAAGATGGGGCTTCAGGACAGCCTGAGGCTACCTGGTCCTGGAGAGTCAGTGACCCTGGAAAGGAACATGACTGAAGTCAGATCTGCTCCAGATCCAAATAATCGGAGCCGCGTCCTCCTGCCTTAGGAGTATCTCCAGTTCCAGCTCCAGCAGTGGTGACAAACAGTGAGTAGGCCCTGCTACGTCCTCTCTCTTCCCCAACCCAGATTCTGTGGCTGCCTAATCAGTTCCGGAAGCAGGTGAAACAGCAAGCGCCCGGGTTCCAGCACATCTACGGCCTCGAATGTTTGGTCAACAAGACCGTAAGGTTTCCGCGAGTCAACCTGGCTTACCAAAAACTGAGCAGCGCAGAAATCAGGTCAGAGCGGGGAAGGGGCTCTATCTCGGTCAGGTCAGGTCACATCTGAGGAAGGGGGGAGGTTTTATACAAACATATCTTTCAACCCCAGCTCAGCTTTTATAAGGCAGATAGAGGCTGGGAAATGTATGGGGTGTGGAAGGCAAAGGTCTCAAAAGATGAACGGGATGGGGAGGGCTCAAGTGGAGCAGTGAGGCGCAGCATAACTTCTCTCCACCCCTCCTTCAATAACCAGTTAGCAAAGCCAGAAAGCAACCAACAAGGTGTGTCATCCTCAGGTCGTTGTTGCATAGTGAGGCTTCACACTCCTAGAGGCTGGGATGTAGCTGCAGCCTTCCTCAAGCCCTTTCATGCAAATTGTGCTATTATGGGCTGGCACTGACCTCCGCTTTATTGCCAAACCCCCTTCTGCAGCGAGTACCGCCGGAACAATATCTCAGTCAACCTGTATGTGATAAACGCTCCGTGGCTTTTCTCCCTCCTGTGGTGTGCCGGGACTTCTTCGGTTACCACCAATGCCTGCCAGGTGCTACAGAAGATGCAGCGCCCCACCTGGCTGCTGGTAAGACCACGGGGGGGGTGAGTGAGGGGCTACTACTCTACCTGCTGCAGCCCACTCCAACTCCCTGGGACAAAGTGGTCAGCCAGGCAGCCGCCCGGCCTGATCTGCTGCCTGTTTCTCCCAGCCTCGGGCCACCTATCGCATGATCTGGATTGTGACAGACTGCGTCTCCTTCCTGCTGGTTCTCTCGGCTTTCTTGCTGCTAAAGTGAGTACCGAGTGAACAGAGATGAGGGATCTCAGTCAGATCACGGAGCTTCTTCCAGCTTGCAAGCTCTGTACAGTTGGGCCTTCTCAAGTGAGGGATGTGGTTGCTACCATCACCATTATGGAGGTTTGCAAATGCACCCGGGTGATAGGTCTACTTTGTGTTAGGTCTACAGTTGGAGACCCAGTCTTTCTACTAGAAGGTAGAGCAGATCTCCTTTACCAAAGCACCTACCAAAATCTTGCTCTAGAACAGATTGCACTGTCTCACCCTTGACGGTTTAAGATGTGTGGACTTCAACTCTCAGAATTCCCAGAGTTAAAGTTCTAGGTTCATAGTTCAGCTCTCAAAGTTGAAGACCAGACATCTTAAAAGTTGCCAAGGTTGAGAAAACCTGGTCCTGAGTTCTGTATGACTTGTCCTTCTCAGATGGGGCTTTTCATGGTCATTTTGAGAGAGGTGTCGTTGTGCATTTGGATGGAGCACCAGGTGACCTGGGTCCAACTGTGCCACAGCATCAAAAAGACCCTGGTTGCTCTCCAGCTGCCCACCCAGGTGCCAAGAGAGCTAGGGAACAGAGAGGCTCACTTGACATAATTCTGACATGATTTTTTCTTTCTTTCTTTACAGAAGATGGTCTCGGAAAAAGGACTCAAAAGGTAAAGCTGGTATTTTGGGATAACCGGGAAACAAAATGTGACTTTGGCACACAACAGCTGCACAGGCAACCAATAAAGAGGGTATAAACAAGGGGAAAGGGTCTCACCAGCATCTTGGGGAAATCAGAACTTTGCGGAGGGCTGCCTATTACTAGGCACCCTCCATTGTCTCCGTAAGCAGCTTCAAGCGAGATTTGCTGTTCTTTGAAGGAACATGGCTTATCCCAAATGTGCCTTCACCCCTCTGCTGTGCACCGGAAACAGGCGCAGCAGCCCCCACAGCCGTCTCCTCCCGCCTGCAGGTTCCAACTCAGATGTGCTCCTGACGAAGATCCACAGCCTCTTGTCCGAGTGAAGCAGAGCGCCCAGAAGCCCCGGATGTTGCCCTCCCTCTTGCTAGTTTTGGCAGGGCTCTCCTCTTTCAAATGTTTTTCTGGGAACAGCCCGTCCTTGGTGCTTGCTGGCAGCAGCTGCTGGGATCTGTTTCAGGGGCCTGTGTTGCCACAGCCTAAAAAGAGCAGCTAGTGCAGAAGTTCATGGCAGCCTGGATGCTGCATTTCTTCTTGCAAGACTGGAACCCGGGACCTTCCTCAGCAAGACCCAGATCCCAGAATTACTGTAGAGCCTCAGGACAGAATTAGGGAGCTACCGACAATTTTCTTCTGGATGTGGGACTGGGAGGGATCTTTGAAGTGCCCCCTACCAATAAAGCTGTCTGTACGGGCTGGGAAACCATGCTGCTGTAAACACTCAGTCCACTCCCAGGGAGGGCAAATAAAAGTGGGGGCGCACCCTCTCAATGCACAGCTGCCTCGGTGTCCCACCTCTAGCAGCTTCCTGCCACAGCCCGTATTCTGGCAGTTCTAGCTGGGTTCAAAGGCTCCAGGGTGGGGCCTCAACAGTGTAACACTGCGCACGTGAGCCAGGGGTCTCGGCACCAATGGCTGTGCCTGTTCCTGTGTGGAAGTGTGTTGGATTCAGGTTCAGCCCCAAGATTTTCCCAGGAACAGCGTTCAACAGCAGAGCATATAAAACAACACCCAGCAGGCAAGAGTCACAGGCTGCCCCAGGTTCTTTTAGAAACAAAATGCTAGTTTCTGTGTATGTGTTAATAATTCACTTTTTAAAAAAACAATGTAAGCTCTTTTGCTCAAGCGGTGATGACGTTAACAGGAAGCGAATTTACACTGATTTAGAAATGGACTGAGGTCAAAAGGATGCTGAGTAGGCAACTGAGGCAGGGGAAACGCTTTGCAGAAATGCTTGGGGAAACTATAGTTGGGTGAGGTCCCTCACGACAGGTGACCTCCTTATTCTGAGAAAGAATGCTCCTTGTTTAAGAAATATTTAGCAGCACGGCATTCAAATGGTATCGGTCGATCTATTAAGGTAAGTCAGACAGGCCAAGCATAGGACGGGCACCCGCAAGGCTGCAGCCAGTCACTACACAAGGCAGAGGTCTCTCACGCCCCCTGCAAACACCAGGTTGGCCATTACGAACGACACCCTGAAAATGATCCCCCTGTGACCCCAAGGCTGCTTCGTCTTGCAGGGATACTGGGTGGCTGCTGACCTGCACGAGGTTTGTGAAGGCTCTGGCCTGGCTGTATAGACTGCTATCTGCCGCCCACCTGCCCGATGTTCCAGCAGAAACCTGGCATTGCCGACTTGCATGCTCAGTTCCCGCCAAGATTCATTTCCCATTAGCCAGCATTTAGGCTTAAACACACACAGAGTTTATGACCTCCAGCACAACCCTCCCTCCAAAGCCCCCCCCCTTTCCTCCCTCTGCCAAACGTCTCTTGCAAACCTTCAAGGGGAAGTCTAAGACATGTTCCGAGACAGAGGATTATAAAGGTTTATTTGTCACATTTTGCCCCTCAGCAAATCCACAAAAACTCGGGTGGGGGGGAGGGCTGGGTCAAGGGGGAGAGCGCAGAATACCTGGACAGGAGGGGCGGAACCTTTATTGGGGGGAAGTCAAGCCCGCAGGCCCAGCAGTTCCCTCTCAAGGCCCCCCAGGGACAGGCCGGAGAGCTCCAATCCCACAGCAGGCACCCCCACCCTCCGGAAGGCTTCTCCTCAGGCCAGGCCCGGATGAGGCCCTCCAGCGCCCAGTGCTTTGGGACTCCATTGCCCAACAACCCCATCACAACGCCAAGAGCAGAGGAAGAGTTGAAGTATAACTGGACGGAGAAAGCCTTGGATCCCTACCAACATCCTGGTGGAAACAGCTGGTCGAGCCCCCAAGATCCTCATGTACCTCATCCTGGATCCCAGCGGATCCCATTACTCATGCCACAGAAGACACATTGCTGCCTTCATCTTTCCTTCCAAGCAGAAACAGGCTCTCCTTGAAAAGCGCAGGATGAGGGAGGGAGGGGAAGGTTCCTCCTTTACAGGGGGCACCCAGAGGTTCCGGTACCTTCCTGGCCCAGGATGACCCACGGACCCCTAGTAGCGCAGCTGTAGGGGGGAAATCAGATGCCTGCAAATCCTGATATTTGGATTGTGACTTACATCTCTATTTCTGATCCCAAATGTGTTTTTTTCCAAAAGGCCGCTGGACTTCCTTGGTTTTCTCCTTGAAAACATTTCGCTTCTCATCCAAGAAGCTTCTTCAGTTCTGGAGAAACTTCTCGGATGAGAAGTGAAATGTGTTCAAGGAGAAAACCAAGGAAGTCCAGCGGCCTTTTGGAAAAAAGCACCTTTGGGGCAATCATGGCCTGGATGACTGAGAACCTCCATAGCTCTCTCTCTCTCTCTCTCTCCCTGCAGCCCAATGCAAGGCCTCTGGACCACAGCAATCCTTGCTTCTCTCTGATCCCAATCAAGATCCCTTCTGTCTACAGTGCTCCGTGCAAATGAGGGGAGGGGGCAGCATGTTCCCATAATTAACCAGTCCTGGCTTGGAGAAAGCAAACTGGCATAACAGCTTTCTGGCAGTGGCAACTGGACCAACCTCTCTGACAGTGACCATTCCAAGCCAGGGCGAGTGAAGGTCCTCCCGAAAGAACTCCGAGGGCTGGCTCGGGTATGAATATGCCCCTCTGTGGTTCGACACAAGCAAAATCTACTGCACACATTTCCAGGCAGACAACTTTGGCCTTTCCTCGCATTCACCACAAATGGCTTTGGGCAGCTGCAGGAAGAGAATGGAAGGAAGTCTGAAAACTGCCTTGCTAAAGGATCTTCCAGGTTAGATCGGAACTCCACCTTTTCCCTTCCAGGCCTGCTGGGAAATCTCCAAGCATGCCCAGGGTCCACCCCAGCTCCCCCCGTCAAAGAGGAGTCATGCTGGAAAAATGGTTTCTGACCCTCTTGTATTTCTGCAACCCTCATTCCCCTGGTCTTTTCGGGGCGGGGGGGGGGACAGATCACCCGAGAACATGCTGGGTGCCATCCCTGCAGCCAGAGCTACACTCTGAGCATTGCCAGCCAGACTACATAACAAAGTCAACCCTAAGCAGACCCAGGCACCCCGGAACTGTCGGTCAGCAGACAGTGGCTCTCCTGCAGAGGCCTTCTGCGCCAAGAGGTCAAGGGCTCCAAGTACCCAAAGGGGTCGCTGCGGCCTGGCCACCTCAAGGCTTAGAGCACCCAAAGCTCCTACTAGGAACACAGGCTGATCAGCCTGAGTGTTTCCGGGGAGCTTGGACTCCCCCTTCTTCGGAGGAGGAGACTCGTCTTTTCTAAAAAAAAAAAAACCTTCCCCCCCCTCATTCCCCATCATCCATTCATTCTTCAGATCAATTCCTGGCACTGTGTACTTTAGTGTTCTCTCTGGTATCAAAACTTATAAAGCTTTAAGAAAATGTCCTTTACTTTTAGCCAATCATTTCATAGGATTTTCTGTTAAAATATAGACAGGATTTTCTCCACCCTCCCCATTTTCTGTTTAACAAAAGCTTCTAGTTAATCTGCTGCTAACTTTACAGGCATTTATCTACAGCCCCCTCACCTACCCCAATTCCAAAGAACAAGGCTAGCTCGGTGCCCCTTTCCCTCCTCCCCACCCAGCTATAAAGCCCCCCCCCCCCGAAGCCGCCCTCCTGTTCTGGATAAAACTTGGAATAGCACAGCTGCTGACATGCCAAGTGAGGGGAGAAAAGGCACTCAACACAGAGACGTGTAAAAAGGGCCCAAGGCTCTCACAAAAAGCCTCGTCCAAATGAAAGAGGAAAAGATAGAAAAACGCCACCAAAATAGTTCATCTGTATAAAATGCCCTTCCAGGTTAGAAAAAGAAGGAAAAAAACGACACTGATCAGGGCTCTGGTTAAGGCCAGATCCGGGTTTCCTATTTCTCTACTGCAGCACAGGGACAAACCCAGAGAAGGCGTTTTGGTTTCTCAGCAACAGCTTTTAGCACCTGCTTGCCTGCCTGCCTGAGGGCAGCCACACTGTCAGGGAAGTGCTTTCGGTCGTGACCGGGGCCAGGCGGGGCCAGGCCTGCATTTCCAGAAGGGCCTCTCGGCCGGCCAGGACGGTCACGATCAAGCCAGGTGATCTCCTCGCTCCCTAGGACAGCTTGCCCCCTCCCCACCTGCTACTCTCACGCAGGACGAGTGCACAAAGGGCAGGACTCTCCACTCAAGCAGCCCCGAGGCTGGCTGATCCTCTTCGCATCCACCAAGGCGTAGTGTACCGAGTCAAATGACAGATGAGGCAGAAATCGGCTGGTGAGTTCAGACCTATCGTGGCTGCGCCTGAAGCACATCTGCCTGAAAAGACTTCTTCGGGGCAGGAAAGGTCTGGCCGTGGCGAAGCGCTCTCCAAGGCTCCTGCTGGGAGAAAGGCGTATGCTGGATTCACGAAAAGACATGGCACTGGACAGATCGCTCTCTTCCCGTGGCAGCCGGCCTCTCGCGCCCAGCCCACATGCAAGGCCAAGGCGGGCACCAGAGCTCCTGGCATTCCAGACTCTTCTGGGTGTGTAAAGCTCCTGCAGCAGAAGGGCACTGGGAAAGGGGGGGGGGGGAGAGAAAAATGCTTAGTTTTCTTTATGCACAGAGGGCAACAAACGACAGAAAAGGTGAACAGGAAAGGGGTGGTTACTCTGCCCCCCGTCAGTTCTTGTCACCCCCACATAGGGGAACTGCATTCCAAAGACTCCGATAGGGACCAATGTCAAGAGCCCCTAAAAAAATGGCTGCTTACAATAAAGAAGCTTTAGGGCCAGTAAGCCATCACCTGGCAAGACACAAAAAACTGCCCAGGATCATCTGCAGAAGGCAGCCCTTGGCTTGACTTTTATACCCTATGATTACAGCTACTCACCTATAAATGGCCACCTGGTTGCTACCAATCATCCCTTTGTTTTTAAATAAAGATGACACATTTTAGTATGTGAGGAAGAAGAACAAGAGCAAATGGCTGACGTATGAACCCAAGCAAGCAAAGACAGACCCAAAGCATTTAGCTTTTTCAACTTGGGTGATTCCATTTCCACTTGTCTCCTTCATCCCAGACTGTTGTTTCTAGCACATTTTCTCCCAAGGCAAACAGACTTTTTTCACCTCCATCCATCCATCCTCGTCTTCCTGTATGGCAGTTATTTTCATTTGAACAAAACCAAACAGCATTTAGTTTGGCCCAAAGGACAGAAAGTGCATTGAGCCTTGCAAGCATTGAAGCACCTTTCATCCCTTCACAGAGAATGTGCTGGTGGCTGACAGCACTTGAGGGAACTTCTGTCTGAACGGAGGGGCCTGATCCATATGTTTCCTGAACCAAGAAATATTGGGAAAGGGAGGGCCAGGGATTCATGGAGGGCTGTGGGGTGGGGTGAGCAGCCTTCAGGAATCCGGAGCCAGCGTGTACATACCTTTGCCCATAGGAAGTTAGCTGGGGACCCAACTGTGATTGGAAGCCTGTGACGTGCTCGGGTAACTCGGAGTAGACGGAATGGGCTCAAAGTTGAAATCCAGTCCTTCTCCATCCATGAGGTCGGTGCTGATGATGTAATCCACATCACACTGAAGGTCCTCCATGTACATATCCACATCCAAATCATTGGGTAGCTTATCCTGATTCCCATCGAAGGCCGGGAAAGTAGCAGACAGAGAGGGCTGGGTGCCCATCTGGCCCATCTGGGCAGACTGTGCCGAGCCCGACGTCTTCAAAGCAGAAAGGCCAATGGGGTTCTGAGAAGAGGCCGCCATGGTAAAGGCAGAGGGCAGCCCGGTGGCACCAATGGACTCCAGCTGCTGCTCCAAAGGTTTTCTGAGCAGACTTCCCAGGCTCATCTTGGGCTTGGAGGGCTGGTCCCCCAGAAGCAGGAAACTCTGGCTGTTCATCCTGCTTCCGCTCTGCGGGAGAATTGGGTCCACCTGGGTCATCATCACATCGCTGGCTGGTGGCGAGTTGGATGTGAGGAGCTCCTCCAGCGACTGTGAGAAGTGGCCGGTGGAGCTGGGCAGCAGGTGATCCATGGGGCTGAAAAGGGAGCTGCCAAACGAGCCGGAGGCCTGAGCAGCAGAGCTGGGGGCTCGCAAGGGGAAGGTGGGGTTCCTCTGGGCCGCCCCGCTGGACACCGGCTGCTGAGTGGCCAGCAAGGATGAGGAACTAGCCGACATCAGGTTCAGGCCATCGAGGAGCTCCAGCTCCTCCGTCACTGTGGGAGGCACGTTGCTGGACGCGCTGGAGTAGACGAGGGTGGGGAGGAGCTCCTCGTCAGCAAGGTCCTCCTGCTCGGCCAGGACCGAGGAAAGCCCCACGCTGCTGGCATTCGAACTGGTCCGAGGCCGGATACTGGTCCACACCTCCGAGTCCTCGTTGCTCCTGGAGGAAGGGCTGCCCGGCCATTTGGGAAACTGGGAGACGGGGCTGTCGGACGTCGGTTCTGGAGCAGCCGTCATGGCCGGCTTCTTCCTGTGCGTTTTCCCACGGAGTTTGGCCAGCTTGCTGCTGTTGTCCATGGAGGCCGCTCTTCTCCGCGGGGCTTTCCCACTTTTGCCGCCTTCGGGATTGAGCATCCACCAAGAGCTCTTCCCGGTCGCTTCATTGTGCACTTTGATGAACTTGTTATGCAGGGAGAGATTGTGCCGGATGGAGTTCTGGAAATAAAGTGGGAAGGACAGAGGGTGAGACCAATCCCATAAACCCCACCCACGAGCCACCCAGGGTTCCTGGGCCATAGGAAGACCTTCCTGGGTGTGCAGCTACAACCAGCCCCACCACCCGCAGCCTTTGGGGCACTGGGAGGCTGCCCTTTGACCTATCAGACTGCTCCCACCTCCCTACGGTAGCAGCCTGTGGATTTCAGGTTTGTCAGATCTTATTAGACTCAAAATACCGACCAGGTGATACAACGTAGTTAAGACCACTGGAGAGGGGGTTGCTAAGCACATTCGGAGACCAGGAACCAGACTTTATACAAAGCCTTGCCAAACATCCCAAGGTCACCGTCATTTCTTCCCCCTATTTTTCTGTTACACAGACATAATCTTGCACTTGAAACACTGACATCCTTTTCTCTTTTTTCCAATACTTTTCTTTAAATAATAAAATGTTGATCATTTCATTCATACAATATAAACATTACGGTGGGGAAATCGGCATCCCCGCTGTACTATCACCAAATAGTACAATCTATCAAGATTTATCATATTACAACACAAGGGGAAAAAACAACATGGGATAGAGTGTCTGAGCCACGAGGCAAAGAGGCCACAAGCCACCCACCCAGTTTCCTTGTGGCCTGTCCGTTTGTCTCCTTCCACCCTCTTTCCTTTCCCAGAGGCCTCCTTGGCCCTTTTCTTCCCTTCCTGCATAGCGCAGGGATCGGGACACTTGCCATTCTAGTAGACAGGCCCAAGAATGGCAAGAATCCTGCTACTTCATTTCCCGGCTGGGTTTTCAGTGACTGGGTTCAAACATGGCACCAAGCAGTGGTTAAAGAAGCAACAGCATGCTGAATGTGTACAACGCATCAAACCCAAAACAAACAAGCCGCTTTATCGTTCAGCACTGCATATGAACAGAGCCAGTGTTACTCCTTCTGAAGGGCATTCATCCGCCTCCAGGCCAGGCGTGAAGAGAACAGGAGAGCAAATAACAAACTGGGCGGCCCGCATCCGAACCCCACCAGCTATTCACAGAAATGACAGGATCACTGTTACCCACCCAAGCGGCACAGAGCAGGCACAGATCTGACTTATGGCACTGGGCTACGCCTACTTTGAAACCTGAGCGGCCTTGCCTTGGCTCTGCCCCCTAACCAGTGTTACTAGCTGCTTGCCAACTGGCTACAACTGCACAGCCAGAAGTTCACGGATCCCAAGCCACAAAGCTGTTTTCAAATTCCAGCCGAGAATTCTTTGGCTCCCAGACTTCTTCACTGCACTCCTTGTGATCGGGCAAACAGAAAGCAAGCACACTCCTTCATCCCTCACTGTTCTTGATGTAGAACAGGATCCTTACGCCCTGCGCAGCGGTTTGCAGGCTGTGCGTGGCTTCAGAGCTCCATCCCACAGCAGCCACAGTCCCCCCTTCTCCCCAAAAGGAATGGTGGAGGCCGCCTAGTTGCATAACCGGCAGATTCTGGCCCGGTTACAGAGCGACTTGAGAGCAAGAGGTGGGGAACAGCGTGTAACTTCCTAAGAATACTAGTCAGGTTTCACTTCTGGGGAAGAGGCTGGCCTGCCAGAACCGCAGTGTGCTCAGCTTTGCGTCAAGAGAGCTCTTTGGCCCCAGGTCAGAGCTGCTGCTCTGGGACTGCGAGCCTCGGCTTCTCTTCTGAGGCCAACAACCCCAAAGTCAACCTGAAATGCAGGAACAGCACGAACGGAGGAGGTCGGCTGTCCCCTCACGGCAGCCCTCTCCAGGATGAAGGAGGCCCCCTTGCACCAAAGCCATCTGCCTTGATCCAAAATCTCAGTGGGTCACCTTCTGGAGGTGCCAAGATTGTCTCCTGCAAGCAAACAAACGCTGTAATGCTGAGCCACACAGTTCTGGGGGGGGGAGGGAGGAGAGTGGAATGAGTCAGAATCACTCCCCAAAGAACAGCCAGAAGTTACAGCAAAGCAAAATAGTTTAGGACAGAGGTGAGAGGAACCAGGTTCACACGCTGTGCTGAGCTGTCCTCTGGTTTGCAGTTTGCTTAGCACGTTTATGAACGCAATCAATTGTGACTCTAAAACAAAAGCAAAAGTTTACAAAAACAAGCTTAGTGGATGGGTGAACCCAGCCAGAAGGTTCTAAAAATGTCCAGGTTCAAATCACTAAATCTGATCACACATTCATGGCAAAATGTTTAATCAATACTTCCAACAAACCTTAACTCCTTCTCTGAAAAAAAGGAAAACAAAAACTTGGAGCCCGGGGAATAAACTAAACCCTGTTTTAAAACAAGTTGAGGATTACAAGCTCAAAGCATGTTACCTGATTGATATCCCCTTTCTAAACAGCAATTTCTCTACGCTGTAATTTCACCGGGGGAAAGAGATCAGTTTTTTAAAAGCCGGACCTTTCAGAAGACCCTTTGCCCTGACTTCTGTTGCCTTCCCAGCATCGATCCATCTCCTCCACTCCCCCATTTTCTGATGCGGGTTTCTTGGTCCAGATGACTTGATACCATCTTGGAAGAAGGCTACTACTTTGGGAACCATCAGTCTAGGATATCAAGTAGTGGAAAAGCAGCGCCAATTAGCTCTCTCTTCACCACAAGCAAACACTAAAATGGATCTTGAAAGGGCTGAGAGGTAACAGCTCATTCCGGAGCTTCCAAGCCTACAACCGTTTGGCAGCTGGTTGGGGCAAACTGTCCTCACCAGATCAGACAGGAAATGATGGTTTGATGAGCCGAACACTCAGACAGACATTCCTGGGAGGAAGGAAAAGCATCTCCTGTATCAAATTGCCAGCTCCTACAGAAGCGTCTGCCAAGGAAGGAATTTGCCCTCCGTAACGGAGCTGGAAAAGTTCAAGGAATATCGTGCTGACTGCAGGAACCAGGAAGAAGGATCTAATGTTCTGAGGGCAACCTGCTTGCCAGAGGTAGACGACAACTCACGGCATCACAGCCACACTGATCGCCCCGGGTTCTTCAACAAAACAGAAAACAACTTTTCCCTAACCATGTTCCTCGCATAATTCTATATGGAAATCGCCATTTACTCACCTCACTAGATTGTCTCGCTTGATCCCTGCAGGTGAGATTTGAGAATATTTATGTACAGGTAGTCCTTGGTTAACAACCACTTGTTGAGTGACCAAAGTTACGACAGCACTGAACAAGTGGCACTTACAACTGGCCCTTGAGGTTCTGGCTGGCCCAGCACCTTCACAGTCACGTGGACACAATCTGGGCACTTGGCAACTGGTTCAAACTTATGACAGTGGCAGCATCCCAAGGTCACGTGATTGCGCTTTAGCTGCTTCCCAGCTGATTCCAACAAGCAAAATCAATTGGGAAACATGCAGAAAAGGTTGCAACTTGCCCAGCTAATTCTCCCATTCCTGGCAACAGCCACTCAAAGCCTCTCTACCCTGGCACTGCACCAGCCCCTCACGTGCCCTTAAATGCCCCCGGCCACACGTGGGCTATGCCAAACCGTCACATATCCTCTTCCCCCACAGCAGTCCCTTACCTGCTTGCCAACCTGCAAGAGAGCTGCCTGGGACTTGCAACTCCCTCCTGGCTTCCCCACAATTGTGGTTGTTCAAAGCCAGCAGGATGTTGTAAGGAGATCCTTGTTAACTTCCTCTGTCCTTTTATGTTAATGGGAACTGGGGAGAAAATCCCTAATTCACAGGAAATTAGAGGGAGGAGGAGGAGAAGCACATTCAGACACATAAGTTTCTGTTATTACAGTCATTGTAATAAAAATAATTTTAGAGCTATGTGGCACCTATTTCTTCAGCTGGCCTGCCTTATAGGGTTGACAGAGGGAGAAAGTGTGTTTCATCAAAGATAGCATAAAGGAGACTTAGCACACTCAGCGGGACTTAGCTCTATAACAGTGAGGGCGAACCTTTTAGAGACCCAGTGCCCAAACTGCAACCCCAAACCCACTTATTTATCACCGGGTGCCGAGTGGGCGTGGCCACGGTGGTCATAGCAGACTGGGTGAATGGGGCCAAGATGGTGGGGGCCAGTCCCTCGCTATCTCCGGGGCACGGCACGCGTGCCCACAGAGAGGGCTCTGAGTGCCGCCTCTGGCACGCGTGCCATAGGTTCGCCACCACTGCTCTATAAGGTATGGTAGAGATTTCAAGTCACATTCAGGATGACTGGGGAAAAACACATCATAAGGGTTAAAAGGCCCATTTGTGAAGAAAGTATAAAATCCAGCAGAAACCTGGATGTTTCCAATACATATTAAGCAAAAGAATCTTGTTTCTTATGTGGAAGCAAGAAATAAATTGGGTAGCAATATCAGCAAAGCTGGAGATCACCCTTAGCCAACAGATTACATAAAGTTGACAGACGCCCAACGGAGCAGCTTTTTTTTTAGTGGTCAGTGAGTGTTAGATTCTTGCCAGCTTCAGGATCCTGGCAATGCCACTGGGGGGAGATACAGCTCCAATCTGCCTCTGCACAGGCTCCTTCCAGGGGGGACCTTTCTTCAGGAACCAGCATCGAAGTCTTCCAGAGGTGATTCCACCTGGGTTGCCAGGAGCAGGCAGTGAGCTGCAGGAGGAGGGAGTGGGAAAGGGCCTGCTGGGACTCTGAACCCAACTGGCTTTGGGGTGGGGCGTGTTTGTCCTATTCTGATTCAGTTAAGCACACCCTGTTTTTTTAATCTACTCTTTCAGCCAGGAAACATTAGTTGATAATATCCTCTCTGCATTTTGCTCTAGCATTAACTGCCCTGAAATATCACCAAGTTGAAACTTTATTTGCTTCCTCATCTTTGTCCTATTCCCCCCTCCCCCCCCAAGAAACCTCCTTCTCCTCCTCGACCCAGTAACCGATAACCCAGCAGCTAACCCAGCAGCCCTCAGAAACCTGGCCATCCTGAGAAGACGTGCACTGATATATCATCGCTGGCTTCATTCACACATCAACCCGAGCCATAATGCAGCGTAGCTTGTTCATTTGAAGCTTAGAGAACTATATGGATCCAGCCATTGTAATTAGCATACTTACATCTAAGGACTGTAGAAACTTATAGTTTTCTAAAAACAATGTCAGACCTTCCTACTGGTGCTTTCCCAAGGCACCACGCCTTCTCTGCATGTAATAGAGTTCACTGAAAAAGGAAGGATCCAGTGTACCCTCCCTCATCCCTGCTCAGCCCAGAACCAAACAGGCTCTTAAGGGGGGGGGGGAAGCACAGAAATGCACCCTTTTGCCATCGTGAGCTTTAAGGATGCTTTAAGGGGAAAATGTAAAAAAGTTACTTATAAACCACGAATAAGGAAATGTAACTACACTGGGCTACATCATTTGAACATTCTCCTTTTAACTCATTCTTAAATTCTGTATCAGAGGGACAGGAGAAACACCCATCAAGCCATTTCCAAGCATTCAGAGCCATCAGCAATGTACAGTCTTCCTCTGAAGAGATTGAAAAGGAGCATTAGAGCAGGTTTGGCACATCCTCGTCTTAAACGGAACTATGACAGCAAGTGCCGGGATCAAGACATCCATCTTCTTCTCCTTGCAATCAGCAGGGGAGAAGCCCAGCACAGGGTTTCATGTCCCAAGTTCCAAATCACAGCCAGGGCTTCTTCCATCTGTACGTCAGAAAAGATCCCTTTTTAAATTGCATAATGCTGTACACAATAAAACGTAGCCAAACACTGTAATAAAAAAGGTCTGTTCAATAATTGCCCTTAGAACTCCAGTTAGTGAACTTTCATGATTCAGCATCTTCATGCTGCGAAAAAAAAGACTGAGCCACTGGGAGTTTAAATCCTGCTCAGACTGAAAGGGTGTCACTCATAAATCTCTGCATTCCAAAACAGCAGAGATCGCTTGCTACGTGATTGGGATACCCCGTGAGCATCAGTCGTAAACATACGTTTAAAACCAACACAGACCCTCCCCTAAACAAAGGCTTTTTCCTAAGCAGGGCCAAAAAGCTTCTCACTGACAGGAAAGATGGCAGACCTTTGCGGATGACCCCATGCTTTCCAAAGACAAGCATTTCCAGCCCAAACAAATTTCTACCATATATAAAAAAAGTGGATAATTCGTACACCTGGTGCTATTCTGGCACTCAGAACAGAGACAAGTAGCCACTGAAGGAGTCAAGTGCCAATTTTTCAAACAAATACGAGTCATGTTGAAAAGAGCCTTTTTAAAAACAGACTGCCAGCCATACCGCATTTCCTCAGAGCAGCTCACTCTCGGCTCAGAGGTCCTTTTCTGAAAGGAGGGCTGTGAGGGCTAGGAATGCAGGCTATGAAGGAGATATTTATATTAAGCATCAGCACAGCAGGGTGACAAAGAGCTGAAGCCTGGGACTGGGAAAGTTGTGACACTCGGTCCTCTGCAGCAGACTGGCCGAAAGTCCTAGCCCTCCTCACTCCTGCCTTTCCAAGAAACAGCGGAGAACATTTACAAAGGGGGCAGGGAGTGGCTTTTCTTGGAAGTGCTGAAACAAAGTGAACTGCAGGGTCAAGCTCAAGAGGAAAGAGCACAACATGGGGGGGGGGGGGAGTCATCTGCTGCACAGCTTCCCAAAGTCCACCCTTTGATGACTGTTCAGGATCCATCCTGAACACGTGAAGTAAGCCAGGATTTAAGACAACTTCACAACAAATCAAGCCAAATCAAGTGATTTATTATATCCAGTTTGTCTAACATGATTGGACATTCAGTAGACAAAATGGAACAAAGCTGTAAATCTCTTCCCAAATCAAGAAAACCCCTAACCCCCCACCTCCAATCATAATTTTTACTTTTTCAAAAGGAGACAGAGGAGGTAGAAGAAGCCTGCAGAGATTTCTGGACTTTTCCCAAGGCCTACAGGAAGCAGCTTCCTTGTCCTCTCTTTCTAATTTCCAGCCACTGAAGCCGTTCTCTTACCGGCTGATCAGGTAAACCTCCCCAGAGTGCTCTGCCCTTGCAGTAGCACTGCAGGGGATCTGGGCCATGGCAATAATCAGGGCAGTGTGGTGAGAGCCAATCCCAGATCTCCCTGCCCAGGGACACCCCGCAGGAGTCAATATTGCCAGTGCACATGGCATTGAAGCCACCGTCCTTTCAACTGGGGCTGAAACTTCTACAAGGGTTAAGATTAAAGAGTTCCAGCGTGTCAGCTATAAACGGGCTCAAGGCCAAGCAGCTGCCTAGGCGCTCAGCAACTTAACAGCCACCGAGTGGGGCAATCTGTAGCTGGGCTTGTTTGATGTCCTCTCCCTGCCTTTGTGATTTTTCCCTCCCTAATTGAAAAGGAGGCAGTTGCCCTACCTGGCAGAGTTCAAACTCTTTGCATCAGTAACCCTGCAAGATGGCAAAACCACCACACGAGCCAATCTTTATAAACGAGCAACTCCACCTCATCTAAAAGCAGGTTCCAGGAAGCAGAAGGCTTCCTGAAGCTGGCATTCTGCACATGCCCAGAAATGTTCTATTTTTAGAACAGCACTTTATCCTGAAGCTCTAGAAACTAAATCCCGTTCAAGTAACTTGGACAGTTAACAAATGAGGGACTACTGCACATCAGCCCAAAGATGTGCAGCCCGTTTCCAAATATGTGGCAGGACGTGGGGATAGTCAGTGTTGAACCGCCTGTGTTCTATCTAACCCTGCCTTCCAGAGCTGTTTTCTAAACAACACGTTTGCAAGCTGGCACTAAAAGCCGTTTTCTGAGGAAACAATGCCAGAATTTCCACAATGCACCTGCAAAACCCCTTAAAACATCAGACCATCCCTGCCAGTTTTTAGAATTTACCAGAATTCCTGTGGGTTTTTTTGTTTCACCCTGCCAAAAGAGTTGGAAAAAATGTGCAGTTTACTGCCTTCCATTCCTATTGCTATGATTCAAGAAGAAAATGTGATACGTTGGCATTGCAGTATTTTTATCATATAGAACTCAATGGTTTTTTAAAAGAAAAAAAGATAAAAGAGGCTAACTTTCAGGTTTCAGGAGAGTCTTCTGCCAAGTTTATAATGTGGTTAAGGACTGAAAGCGAAGGCCTAATTCACCAAGCATTATTCCAGTTAAAAAAAAAACAACACACAGCCGTGGAAAACGGACTGGAAATACTGCCAGGAAAAGGGAGGCCGCTGTCGGGGCCCCGAGACCGAGCAGGGCAGCCCTCCTGGATCCGGACGGCGGGATCCTCGAACAGCGGCCGCAGCGGCGGGAGGAGGAGGAGGAGGAGGGGGGGGATTCGCCGCCGGGGCTGCAGAGGGGGGGGGAGGGGGCTCACCTTCCAGCCGGCGGAGCTGTTGCTGTCGCCCTTGTCGCGGAAGTAGGGCACGGAGCGGACCATCCACTCGTAGATCTGCGCCAGGGTCAGCCGCTTGTCGGGCGCGCTCTGGATGGCCTGGCTGATCAGGTCGGCGTAGGACTGGCTGCCCCAGGCGTTGCGCCGCGCCCCGCCGGACCCCGCGCCGCCCCCGCCGCCCTTGCGCGCGCCCCCGCCGCCGCCGCCGCCGCCGCCCCCCGCCGCCCCGGGGGCCTCGCCGCCGCCCGCCGGCTCCTCGGGGCTGGCCGCCGCCGCCTCCCCGGGCTCCGGCTCGACCACGGCCACCAGCTCGGGCCGGGGCAGCGGCCAAGTGCAGGAGCGCGGGCGGCTCTGCGGGGGGAACTCCGGGTCCAGAGCGGCCAGCGACGAGGAGGAGGAGGAGGACTCGGCCGCCTGGGGGCTCCCGGCCGGTTCCGCCATGATGGCGCCGCCGCCGCCGCCTCTCCCGCCGCCCTCAGCGCCGCCACATCAGCGCCTCAGGTCGGGGCGCCCGGCGGGGAAGCGCCCGCGGAGCTCCGGGGCCGACGCCGCGCCCCCTCCCCCCCGGCCGGGCTTGCTGCTCGCTTTTGCGCCTGCCGCCGCGGCCTCGCCGCTCCCCAGCCGAGCGCAGAGCCACGAGAGCAGCCCGCCGCCTCGGCGGCACTCTGTTTACCACAGGCGAGGCAGGCAGGCGCCCCTCCGCGCGTGCGCCGTCACAGACCCTCTGCGCGCGGCCAGGGACTCTCTTTCCCGTCAGGCAAAGCAAGCAGACGGGCGCTGGGGCGAGGCACCTCCCGAACTACAACTCCCGGAAGGCCTCGCGGCGGGAGGGAGGGAGGGATGGGCGGATGCCCGCATGCGCCTTCTTCTTGGGGCCCTTACATAAGCAGGCGGCCAATCCGCTGCCGCCAAAACAAGTCCGTCGTGCTGTGCCGAAATGACGCCCCCCCACGCCCTCCTCCTTCCCGCAGCTTGGCTGTGACCTCTTGTGCTGCCCGCCCCCTGGTGTAAACCCGCTCCAAATGGGACGGGGTCTCTTGATGGGTTCACACCGCAAACATTGGCCGAGCGTTTCACCGTCTTTAGGCAAAGCTACAGCAGCTAAGCTCATGAGCCTCCTCGGCTGGCTGAGGCGGCGAGGGCAGCCGACTGGTGCAAGCCCACTGGGCCACTTTTGGCACCTTCCGTCGTGCGTAAATCCATCCCACGTGCTTAGTACACAGCTTAGTCAGTGCGTCATGAACCCTTAGCCCTTCCAGTTGAGGAAAATCCTTTAATCACAGGACTTTCTAGTAGGCAGCGGTGAAACGTTTGCTCCCTTTTAAATATTTCATGCATTTTCCTTTTGACAGGGCACGGTACCAAGCCATGACTCTTATCAGGCTGGACTAACTAACGTCTGAATACGCTTAACCTGATTATTAAAATATTGCCTGGACAGAGTGAATCGTGAGATACCTGGGCAAACTGGGTTTATGCAAGAAAAATAACCCAAAGTTAAAGCTGGCGGATGCGGCTAGTAGGGAACAGCAGCAGGTACTGTCAGAAATGTCTAGAGGTGGCCATCAGGGAGCAATTCAAGCTCCACCTGTTTTCAATGGATGCTGGAGCTCTCAATCTACCTGCATGGGCATCCCTGATCATAAGCAGTAACAGAAGGGAAAAGGCATTTCTGGGTCCACACTTTCACAGTTGCTTTTGGGCACCTTCAAAGTCACTTTATTGCCGCCTCACGCAGGACTCTTTTAATTCGAAGATGGGCAGATTTGTCTGGGCAGTAAAAAGATTGTTGAATGCAACTACAAACTGAACAATCCCAGAGACGAGAAGGTATGTCAGGTGTCACTCTCCAAGGTCAAGAGAAAAGGGCCACAGGATCCCTGTTCCTGGCCTTCAGTCCACTGCTATGCCCTGCCCAAAGATGCACTGCCTAAAGTTAAAAGCAAGCAGATTGTGGGAAATTCTACTTCTGTGTTCCCAGTTTTTTTTTGGGGGGGGGGTGGAAGCTATATATAAGGTCATCCCTGGGTGCCCACCTGCTGCAAAACCCCTTTATCCTGGTTGGAAATTCTGGAGGGTGAAAGGCTGCTTCAATCCAGTTCACCTTCACCTTGCTGGTTCTTGCGCTTTGCTGACACCTGCTGTAGGAACTGGCTGGTGTTTTTTTCCTTCTTCCCGTTCTGGTTGCAGCATTTTTACCTGCATTTTGCTTTCAAGTATTTGGATGCTGCTGCGGCGGCGGCGGCGGTTATTACTACTATGCCAGGGTCTGCTTGGGCTCTGCTTTTCTATTTTGAAGGAGGCGGTTACAAAATGCATCGAAATATCATGAGAAGAAAGAGCAGAATTAAAATGGGTGGGGGAACAACCATCCCCACCCGAACCTCCAGGGCCTTTTGTAAGTTTGCAATCCGATGAACAGGAAATCCCACTGCATTTTAAGGCATTCTGATTTCTCAGCATTTGCACGTTTGGCCCCCGCCGCCCCAGCCCGCATCTCGCAGAGCGTCAGCGACCCTTCGGCTCCACAGGACAGGGCGAGGCAATCTCGCGCATGCGCCCAAATCATGAATATTTCCCTCTATGAGGCAAGAGGCATTTCCTTGCGGTGCAGCAGTCAAGGCCCGCTGGAAGACAGCCCCGGATCGTGGATATTGCCTCCCTTCTGCTGGGTGCAGCCCGGACGTAATGCTAAATGCAGGTTCCGGGGACCGGAGTTCCGGAAGCCCGCGCCATGGATAACGCATCAATGCTCCCTCCCCGACAAGGATAGGCTTAGCTTGTGCGCGTTGCGGGGTTGGCGCGTCGCGAACCCCGGAACCTGAATCTCAGTTGCGGTTATGCAGGGCGGAAGGGATGCCGCGCCTTTCCGCGCAGGTTCCGGGGCGGCGCTATGTATTGCGGCGCCGCAGCGCTGAGGAGGTGGAGGCGGCGGCCGGAATAGTGGCGGCGGCGGCGGGGCGGGTTCCGCTGAAGCGGCTTTGACGGAGCTTCCCTCCGCGTCTCTCCATCATGTCCGAGGCGACGGTGGCCGACACGCGGCGCCTGAACTCGAAGCCGCAGGACCTGACGGACGCCTACGGGCCGCCCAGCAACTTCCTGGAGATCGACATCTTCAACCCGCAGACCGTGGGCGTCGGGCGGGCCCGCTACACGAGCTACGAGCTCCGCATGAGAGTGCGTGGGGCGGGGCTTCACGGGGGCGGGGCTTCCCCGCCTGCCCCCCGGGTGGGGCTGCGGGCGCGGGGGGCTCCGGGGCGGCCCCTCCGGGCCAGGGAACCTGCTTGGCCCGCTGCCCTTCAGGGGAGGGTCCGCTCTTGCTCAGGAGGGGCCGAGCCCCTCCCGCAGCTCGTTGAGGGTCCAGGTCAGTGGTGGGGAACCTTGGCTCTTTTATGACTCGTGGACTTCAACTCCCAGAATTCCTGAGCCAGCCATGCTGGATCAGGAATTCTGGGAGTTGAAGTCCACGAGCCATAAAAGAGCCAAAGTTCCCCACCCCTGGGTCCAGGTAACCTTCAGCTGCTCAGGGGCTGGATGCCCGCCTCTTGGAGAGCAGCGCCCTGCAGAAGAGCCCCCGCCGGGATCCCGATGGTGGGAGAAGGTCTGGAAGCTTTGGGGGCCTGGTGGGAGCCCCTGCCTGCCTGCCTGCAGCCAGGAGAGGACCTTCTCCTGCAGGGGCCCATAAACGGGGCTCTGCCTTCCCAAAGCGTTGCTGGGGGAAGGTGAGGAGGGGCTGCCGCCTTCAACAGGCTCCTCTTTCTGCCCAGACAAACCTGCCCATCTTCAAATTGAAAGAGTCCTGTGTGAGGCGGCGATATAGTGACTTTGAATGGCTGAAGAATGAGCTGGAGCGGGACAGCAAGGTGAGTGCCAGCGGCCGGGCAGATGGCCTTGTCTGGAGTCAAAGGTGGCTCTGGGGAGACACATTGCGGGCTGAGCATCTGGAGATGCCCATGAAAAACAGCGCGTCTCACAAGGGTGCAGGTCTTCTCCCTGCTAAAATGACACTGTCGGCTTGCAGATTGTAGTACCTCCGTTGCCAGGCAAGGCCTTGAAGCGCCAGCTTCCTTTCCGGGGCGACGAAGGCATCTTTGAGGAGTCCTTCATAGAAGAAAGAAGACAAGGCTTAGAACAGTTCATCAACAAGTAAGGCCTGAGGTCACGCTGGGCTGTTTGCGGAAGCTGAGCTCTGGGAAAGAATGGCTGGGTCATGCCAGAGGCAGGGAAGCTCACTGAATTAAGGGTTTAGCGCTTTAGATGAGGGGTCTCCAAACTTGGCAACTTTAAGACTTGTGGACTTCAACTCCCAGAATTCCCAATTCAGCTGGGAAGTCCACAAGTCTTAAAGTTGTCAAGTTTGGAGACCCCAACATAAGATGAATCTCATTTGCTTTAGTAAACACTGTTTGAAACCTCAGTTAAATTCTACAACTAGTTCTCAATTGATAACTATAATGGAGCCTGCAATTATGGTTGTTAGTCATCAAGCAGTAATTGTACTTGATTTTATGACCTTTTTTATGGTGGTTATTAAGTGAATGTAGCAGTCAGTAAATGAATCCATTTTATTCAATGGGTGTTTTTCGCCAGAAGCCAGAACTAAACACCAGAAACAGTCAGCATTAAACATTGTGCTGTAAAGGTGAATCCATTGGCAAGCTCCCCAACTGTAATTGCATGACCGGGTGGTGGTGGTGGTTGTGGTATCCGACCTTTGAAATTGGGTCATAAGTATGTGTTTGGGGGATTGGTGGTAAGTTGAGGACTACCTGTATTTCCATTAAATGAGCAGAACATGTTTAGGGTTAAATAGTTGGACTAAGTTCAGGCAAGACCTGGGTTCAAGTCCATCCTCAACTGATAGATTCACCTCTTTTTTGTCTCTTTTTTGCATCTTGTCTTATCCAGTTATGGGAAACAGGAGGGAAGAATATCCTATATGCTGCTTTGAAGGCAGGAGGTGGACATTAGTCTCCTGCTATGGGCAGAGTGCCCGGTTTTATTTGAAAAGTATTTGTCCATCAGAGAATATATATCCTCCATTGGAATAAGAACCATATGCTGTTGCTTAGCCTGCTTCCTCTGCCACCCCAGCAGCTGTTATCTACCTCTCATATAAACTGACACCTTCTCCATTTGTTTTCCCAATGGAGCCCAGGGAACAGAACAGAGCGAGTGCCTAGATCCCTTAGCAAACTCTTATTCTGCTGGTTCCTTCAGGGCCAAAGGAAAAAGAATGGTGCCTACAGCAATTAAAGCCCTGCAAGACCATGATTGCATTGTGTACCCATTGTGATCTTTCTTTCTTGTGTAATGTCAGCCAGTAGGTAGCTACTGGACCATGTAACCCTCCTGCCTTTCCTCATTTTTCCTGGCAGAATCGCTGGACACCCGCTGGCACAGAACGAGCGCTGCTTACATATGTTCCTGCAAGACGAAACTATTGATAGGAACTACGTCCCAGGGAAGGTCCGCCAGTAGGGGAGCCTGGCATCTTCCATTTTTTTCCTCTCTCTCCTCTGCAAAAATGACATTTATTTTTACACTTTCTTCTGAACCAGCTTTTTTTCTCTTTCTGAACTCCCCTACTTCTCCAGTGTTGCCCATCATGCCATCCCATTCCACCCCAGCCATGACAAATTCTGTTGGTTTTTGGTTTCTGCATGAAAGGTGAGGATTTATGAATAGCTGTACTTATCGGTGGATGTGTAAAGCTTGCCAGGAACTTGTGTAAGAATATACACTCGGGATTTGAGCCTTCTGCTTTGGGGTATGGAGGTAGGGAGTTTTCCTGCCTGGACATATGTCCCTGGGGAGAACTTGGCACACAGAGTCTCTGTTGCTCAGAGCTGTTCTTTTTGTCAATATTAGTGTCTCTCGGGCCTGAATGATTAAAGCCAGTTTCTGCTTTCTAGTCCCATCTCCCTTCTTTGAAGATAGTGTTATGGACCAAAAACCTCTTGTCAGCGATCAGGCCCTTTGGAATTCTACTCAGCCATCATGCAGGGACCCAGGTGAAGCACAGAAGAGCTTTTACCAACTATTTCTGGTGGAAGAGAGGATCCCCAAAAGAGTAGGCAAAATCTGCACCCCAGCAGATATGAGGCTCCCCGTAATTTTTCAGCAATCTCTTGTGCAGGCCACTGTGGATTATACCATGCAAAATTACAGGTTACAGTAGCCTGACTTACAGCAAAAGGCTGTGCAAGCTTTTCATATTTGAAAGCACCAAGGATCTTTGTAGGGCTTCTTCAGCCCGTCAGGAATCCTTTAGCCAAATGAATCTTTTCCCTGGTTTGTGCTGCAGCTGCAGAGGGCAGCCAGTGGATCCCAGGAAAGCGGCTGCATCTGCTTTTTTTGGAGAGGGGGAGGTTGTTTCTGAGTTTGGACCCTGCGTGATCTAAAGTCATTTTTGCCTTTGAGCTGGAAGTTATACTATGCAGTGCTTGGCCTGCTTCTTGTGCAGAATCTTTCTCTGAGCTCACAACTTGCAAGGTTGTGGTGCAAACTTCTCTGCTGTTTAATGTGTAATGAAACAGATTTTATAAAAGACTGTGGGTATTTTGTTGTCCCCTAAGGAGCCTCCTCAGTTGAATAGGCCTCTGTAATGCCCAGCATTCTCTATGGGTTGCCCCCCCCAGGAGGGGGTAGAATATCAGTCCATATCCCAAAGGCTTTAATTAAACTTATTTCTTTTGCACCTTCCACAGTTTAGGGTGGGCATTTAATTTGAGATAGGGAGTGAAAAGGGAGAGGCTGTATAAATTATTTTCTCAGCATTCCTCAAGCTTGCCCATGTTGGTTAAACAATATTTGAAGGGCCTCTGGTCTCCCATTCCAGCTCTGCATAAAGTCCAGTGGAGGGCAGAGCAGGGCTGGGAAACAGCAGATAAGATGAAATGGCCAGAAAGAGCTTGAGGAGCAAGCAGGCTTCCAGAGCTGCTGCTGCTGCTAGGATAGAAACATCCCCATTTGGAGCAGCCGGCTGCCACCATACAAAGCTGCATTAGCTGTGGGTTTTAAATATACTTTTATTTGGTGCACATGTCTGAAGATCCATGGCTGTTGCTGCTGTACATATTTGAATGTGGGGCTTACAACTCAGCCACCTGTGTGTCTTCAGCTGACTGATGTAACGTCCAAGACTGGTTCACATTAAAACCGCTGTGAAGCCAAAGATGTGTGCGTGTCCTGCCAGTAATAAGTGGGCTCTAGTACGTTTAGGTGGACCTACGGTGCAGCTTTTGTGGCCGTAGTAGGGTCTGTTGTGGGATCCGCGTTAAGGACCTTCTGCAGCTGCAACGGAGCCCTTCGTGAGCGGGCAACGAGAAGCCGGCTCGGGGCTCTTCCAGTTGGGCGGAATTCCTGGGCGGAGGGGGGAGGATGCGAGCGGCCTGAGCCGCTGGCCCCCCTCGCCCTCCGGAGGGAAGCCGCTGACCGGCCCGTCAACGCAGCCGCCTCGGGCAGCTGAGCAGATGCGCTTCCGCGCCTGCCGGAGGCGGGCCGTGAAAGGCGGGCGCTGCTGCTCGGCCGATGCCCGTCTCCGAGAGGGTCGGACTCGGCTTTGCCCGCAGACCCAGGCGGCCCCTGAAAAGACGGGCCAGCGGGGGGGCTCCGAAGGGGGTCTCGCCCCCCACCTCCGCTCCTGGGAAGAGATCAATGGGCGCTCGGGGGGGGGCAAGATCCGCCACGGGGCCACAGACCCCCCCCCCAGCAGGGCAAAAATGGTGCGCTCCAAACCCGACCTCGCAACCGGCCGCCTCGCCCGGAGCGCCCTGGAGGTCGGAAAACGAGAGGAGGGGGAGCGGTGCCCCCTCGCACGCTTCCGATTGGCCGCTTGGCTGCACGTGGTTACAGGGCTCCTCGGCGCAGATGGGATGAGGTCCTCGTCGGATTGGTAGAGCGAGGACCAATGAAAAGCCTGGCGCGGAATGCAAACGTGGCGTCGCGGGCGCGCGCCCGCCCAGCTGGCCCTTCATCTCGGTGGCCGGAAGAAGGGCGCGAGTTGAAGGGGCCGGGTAGATGACTGCGGCCCAGGGAGGGTCTCCCTTCAAGGGCCGGGAAGGGGGAGAGGCCTGGGCTGGCCGTGCAGTCGCCTGTCCGTAACTGTCAGGCTCTCCATTTGGCCTTGGGGGGGGGGGTTTGCCATAAATGTGAATAGATTACAGGGAGTCCACAACTGAGCCCAAGATTTCTGTTGTTACGTGAGGCAGTTGTTAAGTGAGTTTTGCCATGGTTTACGACCTTTCTTGCCTCAATTGTTAAGTGAACCACTGCAGTTGCTAAGTGAATCCGGCTTCCCCATTGATATGGTTTGTGAGTAGGTCGCAAAAGGGGATCACGTGAACCCAGGACACCTCAGCCGTCATAAATACGAGTCAGTTACCAGGCATCTGAATTTGGATCACGTGACCACGGGACATGCTGCAATGGTGGTGTAAAAAATGGTCCTAAGTCCCTTTTTTCAGTGCTGTTGTAACTTTGAACGGTCACTAAATGAACTGTTGTATGTCAAGGACTACCTGTACTCATTGTAGTAACACTTCACAAGGTGGTGGCTGTGCGGGGGAGGATCGCTACCTCAGGCTCCTGAGGGAGAGGAGGGCTCTAAGGCGCCTAAATCATTGGCCTTCAGTTTCATGGCCTCATTATTATCATGAGTTGTCGATCAACAATCATTATTTCAATTTTGAACACTTGCAAAAGTTTGTTTGCTTTGACCTTGTATCTTGTCTGCTGTGAATGTTGCGAAATAAATAAAATCTGCTGAATACTGTTTTGTAACTGATCATTACAGAGCAGTGCCTGGATTCTGATTCTGCATGGTGCTTGATCTTCATCTCTGCTGACAGGAGTAGCAATAACACTGGTAGAAAAAAATATGCCGTAGGAAATAGGGGAAATATATAGGGTGCATTTATTTTTATATAATATAAGCATCTGTTTCTCCTATTCCTGCGAGCGTCTACTCTGACATCTTGCATTTAGCAATAAACAATTTTTGAACATAATGATTTGATGGCAGTTTATTCTTATTGTAACTAAATTTAGCAAGGATATTTAAGTCAACAAAAACACTGAACAGCTTTTCAAAGTTGTGGGGGGACCAAGGACCAACTGGGTTATCGACCTCTGCAAAATAAGCATCTGGAAAATCTGTTATTCCACTCTAGAAACATGTAAATTGGGATAGGTTGCTTGTTGATGTAATTTTGCAGTGCATTTATCTACTGGAGTTGTCAGCATTGTACATTTACAAACTAGATCTAAGCCAGAGGCCATATTCTGGTTATTTAGGAGGTCAGGATGTGTAAGGGGAAGAATTGAATTCAGATAACCGGGGAACTAATGGAGAGATAGCTGCATTTTCTGGAAAGTGAAAGTGTATGTAGCCTTTTTGACAGAAGCTCTGACTCACAAACTTGTGCAGGATCCTGAGCTCTGTTTTGCCAAGCCATGCAGCCTTAGGGCTGGAGTTTAAGCTGTTCCTTTACTTCTGCTTGTGTTTCAACAGCTGGAGGCAACAACATAGCCAAGGCAGCATCTCAAAAATATATAACGGAATGGTTGCCTCATCAGCTCAGAAGCAATCCTCCCTGCCAGTCCATGCCCCGCCTGTTTCCTAATGCAGGAGTGGCTAATCACCGGCAGAGGGAAGTAAGGTTCCAAAGAACCTCCCGTCCAAGTTAGAAGAGCAGGGAGTGTCTTGATGTAGTACCAGTAGGACATGAAAAGCAGAGGTCTGATCCACAGGCAGATAGTATCTATCCCAGCAAGAACCCAGGTTGTGTAGATCTACCTTGCATGGGAACAGAACTGGAAAATCTCTTGCCTTGCCTTTGCTTCAGACGGTGAATGAGAGGGAAATGGAACTACCATTTTAAAAGATTAACTTCTCAGTTAGTTTCCCAAACAAGTATCCTTAAAATTATGTGATTTCTGTTTATTGGAAGTCTATTGTCAGATAATAAAATTACCTAGTGAATTAAGCACAATTTTAAATTCCTGATTATGCAATCCAGTCAGAAGCAAGTGTGAAACAAGATATTGCTACTGGTAGTTTTCCATGAGAATAGAAGGGTGAGGCCATTAAGTGGGTAGAATAAGATTTTTCTGTGATGAGATTAAATACTGTGGTTTGAAGTTAAATTTCACAATAATAAGTACCCGAATTAATGTATCCTATTAATGCCCATTCAAAATGTTCATTAGAATCATATATCTTACCATTCTTGTTCTATTGTGTTTTATGGAATGTTGTATAATTGGATGCACTGAACACTCTCCAAAATGGTATGTCAATACTGGAAAGTGAACAGACATCCTAGTATCAGTGGAGTAATTCTAATAAGACCTAGAAGAGTATAAACAACAGTAGGAATTATTTATCCTGTTGAAGCTTGCAGAAAATTGTATGAATTTAAGTTTGGTATCAACTGTCATGGTTCTGATAGATGAGACCAATCAAAGCAGAATTTGGAGGCTTGAGTTTTCCTCTTGTTTATTGGTTACAAAGTATCTGCACGGTCAAAAGTGAAACCAAGACTAAAGTTCCCTCCCCAAAGCAACAGCATTATAAAGTTAAAATTCCCACCCCATAATCTATGCAATCAACTGTGTTTCCCAATAGAATAATTTGGCGGGATTTGACATTCGGCTCAACACACACACACCCCAGCTGAGGGAACAGAAATGAACTTGGTTCCCACAGGACAGCGAATTGTTTAGGCTAGCATAGAACTTCCCATTCCTCCCCCCCCCCCAATCTTGTGGCAACCAAAAACAAGCAAGATGGCTTCAGTCAGGTTCATTGCAGGCTTGACATCAACACTGTTCCTTTGTGTGGCATTATGTGAAGGAGGCAGACCATGGAAAAATGATGTAGAAATACCGGATAAGGGGTTGGATTAATGATTTCCAAAATTGTTTCTAATAATTCTATATTTATCAAAATAAAGCTGTCATACTGAGCTGAGATGTTCCTGGTAAAATATGATTCTCTGCGCAGTTTTAACAAGACTGAACAGTGCCGTGAAAGCCAATTTTGCAATGTCTCTGCTTGGAATTATAAACCGACTTCTCTGCTACTAATGGGATGAGCACTTTCTGTGTGACAGCACACTTCTTGCTAGCTTCCTCTGTACAGATGTGGTCATAAAGGCAGATTGCTGGAAAAAGAACTATTCCAATCTGTCATTAAAATACCATTTTTATGTTGGGATGCTTTGTCGGTTGGAAAAATGGTGCCCTTTAGTGGAAGATGACAAGTGTGCTTTGCTGCAAGGAAAACTGATAGATTAGGGCATTTTTCACAGTCCAGGTAGTCATGAGCTCCTTGCAAATCTGTACACGTGACCACGTCAGGACATCAGTGATCCGTACTACGTCTTGGCCATCTGCCTGGCTCTTCAAGGGTGGTGATTGCTGCTCTCTGATCCCCACTGAATGGCTATGAAGTTGTGTAAAAGGCTCATTTTTCCTCTCAGGGCCAAATCTTAATTTAGGTAACAATTAAGTAGTTGCATTTATTCTGTACCAAATTCCACTTCCAACTTCCCTTCCCTCTGCATAATAGCAGAAGGATGAGGAAAGTGACAAGTTTTAAAGGGTGAAATAGAAAGCTGCTAAGTGAAGAATTTTGTGGGTAAGTGAGCTTGAAAAGTGCCTATTAACTTCCAGAGAGCCTGACCGAATGACCTTCCCAGGGAGGGGGGCCATGAAGACTTCAAGGGCCTGAGAAAGGATGGCTGAGTGGTGCGAGAAACATTGAGTGAGACACTCTTGGTTAATTATTCACTTTTTCAGTCATTATAAGTTTAGAAAACATCTGACCCTATTTATTCTCTGTCCTGAATGTGGTTAATACTTGCTGGAACTGTAGAGACTAATGAGAAGAATCTAGACATGGATTCTGTGAAAAAGACACTTAAAGATTTCTAGATAGTTTTGAATGGATGCTTTTACATGTGTCTTCATTTGGTTTTTCTCTTTCTTTCTTTCTTTCTTTCTTTCTTTCTTTCTTTCTTTCTTTCTTTCTTTCTTTCTTTCTTTCTTTCTTTCTTTCTTTCTTTCCTTTCTTTTAAGAGCCACATTCTGAAAAGGGCTGCTCGAGAGTATATGATAAATATCTATTAAAAGAAATATTGACATAGTTAATGGGACTTCTTAAGTTTACCTTCTCTTCTGTCATCCTTGGCATAGCTAGCCGGAGCATTTGTCTCTTTGACATTCAATTAAACTTGTCTTCCTCGCTGGTTTTAGTGGTGCTCTGGTAGGAAACCAGTGGCCGGCTATCCGTCCGCCTTGGCTTCCTGGGGCCTGTCAGAACCGAGTGGCTGGAAGCAGGCCAGCCGCTCAGGCTAAATCAAATTGCTTGTAAGAGTTTATTGGAATCTGGCATTTGGTAAGCCTTCCCCTCTGCCCTACAGATGGCAGTTGGTCAAAACTGGGAGCCTCTGGCCTGGCCCTCTAGGCAGAGTATGGCCCCTTCCTCAACAGCACGGCCCCCAGCCTCCTCCCTTGCTGCCTCTGTGCAAGTCCTGAAGAAGTCCGTCCTGCTGCCGGCTGCGGAGAGTCACTTTGCCTCTGCTCAGCTTATGTAACCCGGCCGGCTGTCTGCTCTCCTATTGCATCACCCGGTCGGGTTCCTGGTGTCTTTATTATCTTTTGCAGGGCTGGTTTTTCCTCTTTTGTGCTGAAATCTGTAGGGCGAGCTTTCTTCACTTCGTCTAAACTCAGTGTGGCACTTCTAGATGGAAATGAATGGATCTCATTCTCTTCCCTAGCCAGGTTTTCTTCCTCTCCACGGCTCTAGAACATCACCCAGACAATTGAAATGGCTGCATGTGTTCTCATCTTCATTCTACAAACCACAGAGGACACTCATATAATAGCACAACATTTTATTTGGTCCAACAAATGCATTAAGGTGCTGCGTATTATATTCATGTTGAAGAACTTTTGTGCACATGTAGATGTTCAAACAAGACAACAAAGTTCTGTTAAAACAACTGGAAATCTCCCCTCTTGCTCTGAGCAAGGCTGCAGAATAATGTAAGGTTAGGGCCTTTGCTGAACTGGCCCATTTATCTCAGGGTGGGTTCCAGACACAGTGGGACTTTCTGCCCATGTAGATTCTGCTATTGAATTACTAACCCTAAACTGACATTGTCCCAAATCTCCTTCAGAAAGAGGAAACGTCAAATTTCCTAGAGCTAATTTCCAAAATACAACAAATTCACTGTTGGCTCTGCACATTCACAATTTGCTTTTGGAAATGTTGGGGAAATTAATCATAAGACTTGGAACAGGGCTGCGTGAAGTTTGCAAGGGCTTTGACATTATAGCACTTGGCCCTGGTGCAGTTGTTAGAAAGCCTGGTCTTCTGATGTCAGTGGAGTGTATTTGCGTACATACAACAAACGTCACTATCCAGCTTTCTGTTGAATTCTCAGAATTATTTTTCCAGTCAAAGGTAAATAATCTGCATCATGATAGAAAGCACCCAGCTTTTCCCTTAATAGCTGGAGAAAACAAGTTACCCCAATCCTGTCTTTGCCAACCTGGTGCCTTCCAAGTTAGAGACTAATTTCCTTGCCAGTTTCAGGTTGGGCCAAAACAGGAAACTGCTAGCTGGACAGTATATTTGGCTTCTTTTATGAGGAAAAAATCTCCACCCTGTTTTGGAGCCAGTGACCGTTTATTGGCTTTGCCATCTTTACAACAGATGGAGTCTGGCAGTGACCCCACTTTGCTTTGAGCGCTTGCCAGCTGTGATCCGCTGGTGGCTTCATTCTAAGCAACCCGACACAGCAGGCTATTACTCGCTTGCTTGGCCTCCATCTTTAGCCCCGATCTCTGGCCCAGAAGGTGGTGGTGGTTCCGGTGCCAAGTGCTGTCCTGTTGGCAGCTACTGACCAAGAGCTCATGCCCACCCTCCCTCCACTCCTCTTGCATCATCACCTCTCAGCATGGGGGAGCCCATAATGCTGATGTTGTGGTGATTATCTCCAGACTGAGTTTCATGATAGCTCACTGACTTATTTTACTATGACTTTAATCAGCCCTTGGCCCTCTCACCTCACTTCAGCTCCGCCTACTGGGCTGATTCATTCAAGGCACTACAGCCTGCTCTCGTGAATGAACTATCATGGGCTGAATGTGCACAGGATGTTGAATCCATATATGCGAGCATGTTGGGTAAGCCGGTTTTATATACCGTTGGCACTAATAATCCGTTTGATTTCATTTGAGAAACCCAAGGAACCTATTTGATAATGGTTGGCAAGAAGAACAGTAGAACTCCAGTGATTATTTAAGCAGTTATGCTCCAGCCTAATACTGCACTGCCACAACTGTCTAAATGTACAGAGGCCGCCAGACTTCTTCTGCTGGAGAACCATGGCAAGGGCGTCTGAGATAAGCCTGCAAAGAAAGTAAACTGACAGTGGGTCAGATGAGTCCAACTTAAAAAACAACAACAACAACTAAGAACATGGAGTTGTACTCACATTAAAAAAATGTAACACCTTTGAAAAAAAATGTCATACAAGCAATAGTTAAAACTAGACTTATTGTCCTGGAGAACATTTGGGGACTCTTCACATTTGACACTTTTACATACATCTACATATGAGGAAGGCAATCTAGCCAGCAAAGCCGGGTAAATAAATAAACCATGTGTGGCAGCTTCTGGTCTGAAGGTCACTCTCCCCACCCGATCCCACCTTGGAGAAATGGCTGCCCTCTAAATTTTGTCCCAGCTTGCTTTATTCACCTCCTCTGCAAAAAGAAGCTGCTGCCACAGGTGGAGTCCAATGTACCAGTGAAGGTCCCACGTGCCACGGCTTCCTTCTTGAAGGGGGGGGGCAGGAGGCAGACAAGAACTGAGGGGCGTCCACGGCAGTGGAAGGAGGACAGAAGAAGCAGCTTCTCTCAGATCGCGATTTCTTGGCTCAACTCAGTTGGCCGAGCGCAGGGCCTTGTCGGTGGCTGACTGGGCCTGCTGGGCCCCGTGCCCTTCTTCGCTATGCTGGAGCCCATAACCAAAATAGATGGCAAAGCCTGAGAAAGGGACACAGTTCCTCATTGTGAGAGCGTGCCCGGCGGCCCCGATCCCGACAGCCAAGCTGCCCAGATGGGATCACCACATGGGGAAGACTCTGCGCCAGGTAGCTCTTACAAGAGAGTAGCCAGCTCCTTACCGATAGCCATCCAGACAGCAAAGCGGGCCCAGGTTCCTGCATCGAGCTGCATCATGAGATAGATGTTCACCAGGATGCTGAAGAGGGGGAGCAACGGCAGGCCAGGCACCTGGAAAGGAAGAGGAGGCCAGTTGGGAGTGGCCAAGGGAGGAAGGCGGCCAGCTAACTTGGCTTGAAGGCAGGCGATAACGCCCATGGCAAAACGCAATTGAGGGAGCAGCCGTCCCGCTCTCCTGCTCCTTCGGCAAGGGCCAGGCTCCGATTAAAGCAATTCCTCCCCATCCCACAGGGGCCCCCTGAGGAAGAGCTGGCCACAGGTCTTACTTTGAAAGTGAGGCGTGTCTTGCTTTCTGGCTGCCTCCAGATGACGGCAGTGCCAGCGAGCAAAATGCCCAGGAGAATGACACAGGCAACGATCCAGCCAACGCTGCCCTCCAGGAGGGCTCTCCTCTGATGGGCCAGGATACCACACAGGGCAGTGATCGTGACAGCTGCCAGGAAATAAGACCAAAAGGAAGGGAGGATTATGCAGGTTAGAGCTTTTCAATTGCCACACCTGTGAAGCCACTCATCTGTAAACTCTCAGCCCCGGAATCCCTGGGACCTGATTCTGATCTCTTCCTGCTCTTCTTCTGGTCTCCTGCAAAGGAGCCAAGCCTGGGCAGTTGCTCACTCCGGCCGCCTCTGGAGATCCCCCAGCCTCAGCCATTGGTGTCCTCAACTGCAATGGCACCCAATTTCTCCCTCTCTCCAGTAATACTTACCGATGACCGTGCTGCTGATGTAGACGATGCGCCCCGAGACATGGGTTGGGATGTCCTCAGAGGGGGAGAAAAGACTCCTGCAGGTGATCGTCTCTTTGAATGCATTCTGGCTATCCTCAACTGTGGAATTAATGGTCATCTTTTCTTCTTCACTTCCATTTATCTCAAGCATTTCCAGGTCTTTGGAGAACCTCAATAGCTCAGGTTGGTATCTATCAGGAAAGCAAGAGTGGTATTCCTGATTAGTCCCTCTGCAAACAGCCAGGAGTCCAGGGACAATCAAGACCCAAAGGCCAGGTCCCGTTTTCAACCTTCTCTGCTGCAGCTTCTCCAGTTGTGGACTACAGTATTCATCGCTCTACAAAGCTTGCCTCCCTGCCCACCATCTAAGCTCCTGAGGGATCAGCACCTAGAGACAAGAGGCCCCACCTGAGGATGAGCACACAAATAGCCACCAAAGAGTAGGCCAGGAGCGTGCCGATAGACATCAGGTTAACCAGGTCCTTCAGCTCAAAGAGAAACGCCATCAGGGCTGTAAGAGAAGAGAGGCTGTAAAAATCTCTGGATCTGGATCACAGATAAAGAGAATGGGGGAGATCCATTAATGGACGGATACCTGCAATGATGCCTGAGACCACAGTGGCCACCAAGGGAGTCTTGGCCCGGCTGTGAATCCGGGAGAGGAACCGGAAGAGCAGTCCGTCTTCAGCCATAGCATAGATCACTCGCGGCATGGGGAACATGGAGCCAAGCAAACTGCACAGGAGAGAAAGAAACCAGACGCCACTGAGGGCCACAGGCGTGTGAATGTGGCCTGTGGTGTTTCTCCACTTGGCTCCAGGACCCTGTTTAGGATGGTGGTTCAGGCCTCTCAATAAAGCATAATCTAGGGGTTGCCTCTGTTCCAAAAATGCTTGCTCACTGGCCAATATCTCATGAAAAGGCCCTTCCGGATCTTCTGCCTTTCATGGTTTAAGCAGCAACTTTTGGGAAAAGGAATTTCTCTGTGAGGGCCTCTCAAATCCTTCTGCCCTGACATACGTTCATCTTCTGGGCAGGCTACTCTCCTTCAAACCACAGAATCCTGCCACTTTTCTCCCCTCAAACCTCTAACTGCCATCATATTCTCTTACCCTTTCCTTCAAAAATGGCCTGTTTAAAACCCTGGTTGATTTGGTTTCCGTGCTTAAAAAACATTGTTTTGAGCTCAAGAATCAATAGACCAGTCAACTGTCAGTCATCCTGGTGAGACACCTATAAATCCTGCCCACAAAGAGATGAGGACTTCTGGCTCCACCGAACAAGCTCCCTTCATTTCTCTTACCTGGTAGAGAGGGCACAGAGGGAGCCGATGGCCACCACGTAACGGGCGGGCTCCCAGCCCACTACCTTGAAGGCATCGGGCAGAGGGCTCTCTTTATCCACCACGAAATAGGGGACCATCAAGGTCAAGGAAGCCGAAACGCCAAAATAGGCCACAAAGCAGATGAGGAGGGAGACTATGATGCTGATGGGGATTGAACGTTGAGGGTTCCGTGCTTCCTCACCTGTAGAAGAACGGGAGGGGGGACGTGCAGAATGGCACAGGTGAAATTCCAACGAAATTCTCCCTACCCTGCCATACCCAAAGTCGACTAAGGTTAAAGGACCTCCTGCCAACATCATTCCCACAGACCCAGACTCTGCCTTGTGAAGTGGGCTTCCCGAGCAGCCAAAGCATTGGCAACCACTGGCCATAACCTGTCGCTCAAATGATGAGCATGTTGCTTAAAGACGGCATGGCGGAACAGGGAATCTGAGCCTCAATGCTGATGCATTTAGTTCCTGCACACCTGAGAGTAGGACCCCTCACTCCAAACCCTTCTCTCCTCACAAGAGACGGGCAGCAGAGCACTTTCGACAGATGGCTGCTTAAGCATCTTTCCCTACTTGCCACGTTCCCCAAACCACTTTAGTTATTAGAAATGATCCAAATTTGCTCCACAAGCCCCAGTTCTAGAATTGCCCTCTGAAACAAGTGAGAAGGCCCGTGCTCTGCCCTCTTGAAGCTTCTCCTTCAAGAGCTTGAAGGCAACTTCCAAACTGCACCTTCCCAGCACGGCCATCCTCAACTCTCTCTCCTTACAGTTAGCTTACTGGACCCAGCCTGGAACCAGGCCCAGTTAGCACGCCTCCCCACTGGCCTTCCCACCAGCCCTTCCACCGCCTCCAAAGCGCTACTTTACCTGTGGTGGCGATGCAGTCAAATCCAACGAAGGCATAGAAACAGGTGGCAGCCCCTGAGAGGACTCCCTCAAAGCCAAAGGGGACAAACCCCCCCTTGCCAAAGGAGCCCCTGTTGGAGAAGACAGGCAGGCAGGTGAGGACCGGAGGAAAGCAGTCTCTTTGAGGGGCAGTCCTTCAAAGAGGGGTGCCAGTCTCCAGCTGGCCTGGGGTCCCCCATCTTGCCCCCAGGACTCTCCCCAACTTGCTCCTGCTTTCCCTTCGGCCGCTACCACAGATCCATCCGCCCCCCAAAAGAAAGTTTGTGGCAGCAGATGCTACACTGGAGCAAGGGGGATAGGAGAGGGGGTGCCAACCTTCACCCACCCCCCACCCCACCTTTTGGAGAAGCTAAGAGGGAGCCACGACTGGGGAGTAGGCCCGTACTTGGGTTTAGACTCCAAGGCGCTTTGTGAGTAGTTCTGATAATCTTCCTTGGACATGTTCCAGTGCTTGACATCTCCTTTCACAAAACCCGCAACAATGACAAAGCTGAGGACCAGCAAGTTGACGGCCGTGAAGATTTTATTCACCAGGGCAGATTCGCTCACACCGAACGACAAGAGGCCTGGAAGCAAAATAAACGAGAGAGCGTGTGGTTGCTCCTCAGGGGAAAGGCTCCGGGGTTCAAGCTTTCCTAACGTGGCTGCTCCGGAGGCCGGAGACGGGCCAGGTTGGTCAGCACTGAAGTCCACTTCTGTGCCATCCTGGCACCCGTCTCTTAATGCAATTCCATTTTGCCGGTTTTGTTGTTATTTGGAGGTCAGGCGATGGGGAATGTGGGCCCTTTCTGCAGCTGTACCCAAGCTGCAACGTGGCACCTTCCTGGCTATTTTTAATTACCAACTTCAGCATATTCGTTTTGCCTGAGTTTTAGCAGCAATTACTTCCTAAGCACCCAAGAGCCTTGCGGAATCAGATCAAACATCCGTCCAGCCACATTTTTGCAGAGGCAGGTGATGTCAAAATCTGCAAGACGGCAGGCCCAGCATAACAACGGAAAGCTTGCCAGTTTCCAGACACAGTCCAGTCCAGCTCTCTGCCCCTACCATGGCCAATTGCTCAACCTTGTGGAGACCAAACAGCAGGCCAGGCGTGCAACACCCCCCTCCCGCTGATTTCAAAGGCATGCCCGTCCTGCTATCAGCGGCAGACTCTTCTCTCATGACCCACGTACACCCCTTGTCAACTGGCTGATCATTAATGGGCTCCTCTGGGATCAGGCAAGGCAGGAGGTCAATGTTGCTCAACCTTGGCAAGTTGAAGTCCACCCACCTTCAACCTGCCAAAGTTGAGAAGCCCTGCAGAAGATTATCAATGCACGAAGCAAACGTTCTCCTTCCTGCTGTGAACCTCCCCTTGCCCTGCTTTGTTTAAAACGTTTTTATAGCTGCCCATCTTATACCGATCTCTGCCCCCGGGGTTAAGAAAAGGAAAGAAAAACAACCTCCATGCCAGGCATATCTTTTATGAGAATCCATCGGGTCCCCAAGGCACTTTTTGCTATCAGCATGGTTGTATCTGAATGCAAAACGTGGCATTTACATTTTATATATTTCTGTTTTCTTAAGATTCAATAAATTTGTACGGCATCTTGAGAGATTTCACAGCAGAAATGTTTGGTGTAACCTTCTTAAACAAACAGGCTAACTCTGGCCTGCAATGAATCCCGGAGGCCGAGAGGAAGCCTCTGCCTGAGCCCGGCGGTTCGCAAGGCCGTTCGAGACGCCTCCTCACCTGTGAGCAGCAGCACCAAGAAGAGGGCGAAGAAGTCGGGATACTCGGCCAGCACCTCCTCCAGATGCAAAGCTGTGTGATTCCGGAAGAAAGTGGAGATGTGGCCCCCAATGATGTGGTCAAAGGTGGAGCTCCAGGCCCGAGCCACACTTGCTGTCCCTGAGGAGGCAAAGCAGCGCCTTCATGAGTTCGAGCCAGTCTCCGGTCTGCATCTCCCCTGCAGGACCGGAAGGGGCTTTTGCCCCTTCTCAGGGGGAGAGGAGGGGAGTGGGGCTCAAATGATCTCCCAGCCCTTAAGGTGGGAGGGATCCCACCGCCTTCCCAATCCAGCAGCAGCAGCACACACAGCACTCCATGCTCACACGTTCAGTGTATGCCCAGCACACCTTGGAACATGCTTAACCAGCTCAGCAAAAGACCTGGTTTGGTTAGTGAGTCCGCATGTCATGTAAACCTTGCCCCAATGGGCCAGTTTTTGGCTAGCACTGATGATGTTACCTGGTTTGGGTCATGAAACATCTGCAAGAAAACAACCAAGCTCAGAGAGCACCAGGGACACCCCCCCCCCCCCAGTTTCTGGTTCACTCGCTGTGCGAATTCAGAAAATGGGTTATTTCTACCACCAGCTCAAACACATTGAGTGAAGCTAGATGGACAAAGGAAAAAAAAATGAGGATTTTGTTGTCAAACAGCTTTTGCTGTTCTTGCTCTGGTCCCCTCCAACTCACACCTCCAGAGCTGAAAGACAACTTTAAAGCTCCAGTTGTCCAAATCATTGCTGATGAGGAATGGTTGGCAACTGCACTAAATGCCAACAATTCAATATGGTTTCTACAGATGATAGTCCTTTTCTTGACTCTCGTCAAAGCCCTAGTCGTAGCAGTTGGGAGAACCCCTAATTTTTGCAGTCCAGGAAATATTGCAGGTAATTTCTAAGAAAGCCTGTCCTACAATTTTGACAGAGTTGATGTCTTGGCATATTTGCGGAACTCTCTGAGGAAAACTCCTGTAGAAGAACCCATCACAATTCAGCGATGGCTTAGCCCAGGAGTCTCCAAACTTGGCAACTTTAAGACTTGTGGACTTCAACTCCCAGAATTCCTCAGCCATCAGGAATTCTCATAGTTGAAGTCTGCAAGTCTTAAAGTTGCCAGGCCTGGGGACCCCCTGACTTAGCCCATGGTAAACATGAGCTAACTGGTGTTTCCCTGATTTCATGCTGCAAGCAAATCCCAATTGTGCTTTGAGTATTCCATCTTAAGACATTCTCAAGTCCTCATTCAGCAGTCTTTGCTCCGAGCGGAAAGCTATGTACCTATCATGTAGGAGAGAATGAGGTTCCACCCTGTAGTGAAGGCCCAAATTTCCCCAACGGTGACATAACTGTAGAGGTAGGCAGAACCAGCCTTGGGCACCCGGGCGCCAAACTCTGCGTAGCACAGGCCAGCCAAAACAGACGAGACGGCCGCAATGAAGAAACAGAGCACAATGGAAGGGCCAGCCTGATCCTTGGCCACCTCTCCAGACAAAACATAGACCCCCGCCCCAAGGGTGCTGCCTACGCCTAGAGCAATCAGGTCCACGGTGGAGAGGCAGCGGGCCAGCTGAGTGTCCTGCGAGCCAAGGTCCACGGTCCGCTGCCGGATCAGCTTCTTGCCAAAGTTGGCCAAGGTTCTCTTCAGCATCCTGGCAAATGGTGGTGCCACGTCCCGTCTCCCGAAAGGACCTAGCAGAGAAAACAGCAGAGCTTGTCAGCCAGCGGTGGGGAGGGAGGCCTGCAGCCAGACCCGAGTGGGGAGGGGTCCGGCAGACCCAAGCCAGCCTTGTGGGTGCCCGGGCTGCCCGGAGAGTTACCCCACCGGAGCCTCCCTTCCTCCTTTCAGGTCAGCTCTGTTTGTGGACATCTCCTGATTGGCTGAAAGGCCTTCTTGCACCATCCACAAGTGGATTCTACAGGAATCGCACTCAGAGCACCAGGCTCCCAAAGATTACTCTGGAAGTGATGTCTTTAGCAGAGTGGAGCTCCATGTGCCCGTCCGTCCCGTCCGCCTGTTTGGGTACCGTAAAGGAAACGGGGCTTAAGAGAGCCAGGAACAGGGCCGCCATCTTAGGAAAACGCTCAGTCAAAGCGGCAGAGGAAGCCAGTTGTGGTTACACATTACACCTTTGTGCACTGCAGACCTTTGCAAAACTTAGCAAAGGAAAACAGACCCCGGAAGACCACTTGGATTAATTGTGTTTACACAAGCTGCTCGTTGGAATAAGCATCAGGAAGGCACCTTCAGTTATTAACCAATTTAAGCTAACTTCAATTAACAGACAACAGAACAAACTTGAGCCAAGCCAGGCTGGACAAGACCCTCAAGACCCTCATCAGACACAGCACATGGCTTCATGGTGGAATCAGGCAGGATGAGTCTTCTCCCCCCCCCCCAGATTTTGCCTCATTTTGCTGCCCAGTGCGAGCCTTTCCTTCCCACTCTTGCCAGCAAGTCGGTGGCCTGCTGCGATTCATCCCACTACATACTGGATCTGGCGTGATTTTGGCCTCGTAAATTCCGTGAACTCAACCACAACGGTTTGTAAAACACGATTTATAACTTAGCCCGATTTGCAAACCTGGCTTGGACTTTACTCATTAATCAGAGTTAAAAAACAGGGCTTGGCACGGCTCCTACCCCTGTGCTGGAGAGGGGGGAGGGGGGAGGGGCTGGCCACAAAGAAAGAAGAGGGTGGCTTTTGCATGCAGGATTAGACAAAGGCAAAAAGCAGGAGCAGGAGCTGTTTATTCTCTCCTGAAAGTGGCAGCTCTCTCTGGGTGTCCAAGCGCATCTTGGTTTGAATGTCACGCATGGGAGCTGCATGCCCAGGAACTCTCCTTTTCTGGTGCGGCATAGATGGATCTTTATTAAAATAGGCACCCAACCTGATTTGGCCGGGGAGGCAGAGCCTGTGGCTCTCCATCTTTTGCTCTGCTTCCGATCAATGCGGCGGTGCCATCAGCCTGGCCCATCCATCAGCTGATGGATAGCTCTGTCAAAATGGGGAGCCGGCAGAGGCAGCCTCTTGCCTCTCTCCAGAGTGACGGTCTGTGGAGATTGATGGCTATCCCCTTCCTCGGCTGGGGGTGGGCGGGCGGGCAGGCAGTTCCAGCCGTCCCACAGGAGCTGAGAAATCGGGGCCACGCTTGGACAGGCGGAAGGGAAAACCCAAGTCGGATCTCTTTAGTGAGCAAAAAAAAACAAAAAACCCCAAATAAGCAAGGTCTGGAAAAACAGCAGCCATTCAAAGATGCAGAAACCGGTTTCAAAATCAAATATTGCAGAGCCTGCCCTAAACTAATTGAATTTATCCCTAGTGAGTTTCCTCTTCTTTCTCGCCCCCTTAAGGAGAACGAAATCAAAATCCCTCGGTTTGTGTCTGTTGCACACATCTCCACACTGGCCCTCGCCCCATCCGAGTCGCCCCTTTCTTCCCAGGCCTGACACGCAGCTGCTCTTTCCCATTAGGACTCCCAGAGAGGGGACAGTTAACTTAACCAAGATCCCTGGGGAGATGGGTGGGTTTTCTGGGGTTTCCAAGGGATTTCATGGCTCAGATTTACTCTTCAGAAATCTCAGATTTTTTTCCTTACATCTCAGAGTTTGGAAGCTATCAGGATCTGTGACCTTGCAACAGGTTCCTTCCAAGAGGAAAAACAAGACTGCCACAGTGGATCTGCGCAACGGTCTGTTCTCCAGCCCAGCGGAAGATAATTGAAAGATCTCCCAGGAGAAGCAGCGTTCTCAGGCTGGACAGAGTGCCAGGTTCCACTCTGTGCCAGCAAAACTCCAGACCTTTTGGCCCCAGCTGCCACATTTCCCACGAGGCAAAGTGCCTGAACTGCCTCGGACAGAGGTTCCCATAAGTGCAGGGAGAAAAGCCTCCTCCACCTCCCCCCCCTACGGGCAGGGGAGGGGAGGCATTCCCACTAGCTGTCCAGTCAAGTCTAGCGTGAGCTTCTGGGATCACACACCCTGGTGCACCAGAAAATCCTTACAAAAATTCAGCAGACAAAGCTTTGATTTATCTTTCCCAGTCAGCACTTCCAGGCTGTTTTTCAGCCAGTGCAAAAGCCCAGCTGTGATGGTTCATTTATCCTTCCACCAATCTGCTGTCAGGAGTGATGGAGCACAACTAAGCGTCAAAACCTGCCAGTGTGCCAGCCTTGGGAGTCTAGTGCCCTCGGAAGGGTTGCCGGCCACTTTCATGGAGGTTCTGCTCCTGTTGCCATTGCCTACTTTTGCGGGGGAGCTGAAAAGGTGTCTGGCATGGAAGAAGAGAGGAACGCATGACGCTGGAGGCGGGGCGGGGGGACTCAGCACTCCAGAGCCTTTGTGTGCAAATGAAAACCCCGAGCAGATGAGAGGACCCTGCCTGACTCTCTGGCCAGGCCCAGAGCTTCAGACACCCCAACTCAAAGAACGGGACTTTGTTTTCCCTGGTGGGGACTGCAAGGCAGGAGAACCGGCTGGTTATCGGAGTCCAGAGAAGATCCCCTGCCATCACGGATAAGCCTCCTCCAAAGGCCAGACCGGTTAAGCGGGTCATCAGAGTCAGTGCAACGCTTCCGGTCTGACTCCCATCAGCTAGGAGACGGCTCCCAAGAGGGGTGCCAGAGACCGCCATCCCAAAATACAGGACGGGCAGCCCAACAACTCCCTCCCTGGCTAGCAAGGGAGGGCTGGAGCAGCAAAGCATCTCCAGAGGAGGGTCTTCCTTGTCCCACCCTGCTCGTTCCCAGCAGACAGTGCCGCCAGGGCACCTGGGGAGACCTCCGCAAGACAGGGCCCCTGAAGAGGGGAAGCAGGAATACACCACAATTTGAGAGGCACGGAAGGGGAGCAGTTCAAAGACTGCCTTGGCTCAGCTAGCCGTATGGCAGAAGGGCTGGCAAATGCAGGCGTAAATATGTGCAAATGAAAATCGTGCCCAGGTGCCAGGGTTGCTTGTAACGTTGGCCCTCTGTCAATGAGTGGCCAGGCACAACGTGAGAATTTCCACAAAGCCCCTTCTCACTGGAGGAAAAGCTTCCTTGGAATGCAGCTTTCAAAACGCAGTTCCCCACTAAGGAGGACAGCACAGCTGCCAGGGGGTCATTCAGCCAGACAAGAAGGGGGAGCCTCCTTGGTGCTGCTCCTGCCCACTTGGCATCCCGTGCGGCCCCCTCCTTGCAGCAGAGACCCTTGCAAAGCCCAGTAAGACTGCCCCAGTGCTTATACCGGGGGCAGGACGCTAATTGCAGTCCACCAGCCGGCTATCCTGAGCGATCCAATCCCAGATTGTGGGAAAAGCCCCAAATGGAAAGGTGTCCGAACCTTACAGTGCTGCCCACCTCCTCCCTCCAGGGTCCTGACCTGCCGCACCTCACTGACCGCCTAGTTAGCAAAGCACCTGATGAAGTGGTGCCAACTCAAAAGAGCAACGGAGCTCAGAGTTTGCCATTCGAGCAGGAAGCAGTTTGGAAGCCTCACCCGAGCCTATTAATAGATGACAGGGAGGCAGAAGGTCAAGTTTATGTGGCCACAGCTGGGCAGAGAGGCCACCCCAGTGCCTGTGCAGCAGCAGCAGCAGCGTAGCCAAGGTTACTGCTGGGAAGGGGGAGCCCAAAGCAAGCAGGCGCAGACACTGACTGATGGGGCCAAAGCATGCCATCGCTGCCCCATCACCCTTGAGGAAGGCAGCCTCTGGGCCAATTTGTGCCAGCAGCACTCAAGGCAGAGAAGAGGCCCTGGGCTGCTTGTCCCTTCTGCCTGGAAGAGAAGGACCCGGGCGGCTGAATCCTCCCAGGCCCATCCAGGCCAGGCTGCACATGCAGGAAATTCAAATGTTATTTCAGGGAACGGCACTCGGTCTTGGAATAGAGTGGCCGTTGTGGGACCAGTTCATTCCTGGCTCCTCAGAGAGCCGGAGGTCCTGTCCTCACACGCAACAAAGAGGGCGCCTGGCCGCATTCAGTGGCCGGAGAGCCAAGCGTCCTGCCCCGGAATCACCAACCGGAAAACCCGCCCTGTGGTTTAATGGCTAGGATGTCGCTGAGCCAGAAGACGAGAGAAACCCAGCTGGCCCTTAAAGAAAAGCTTTTGCCCATTCAGAAATCCAGAGAGCGCAGTCAGACACCTGGAGAAGCCTGCCGGGTCAGGACACAGATCCATAGTCGGTGCCAATGTTGGGTCCGCAGGCGCCCAGCTAGCATGTTTGGGAAGCCCTCTGCTTCTCTGTCTCCCAGCAACCAGCATTTCAGGCATGCTCTCCCTGGATCCTCCCTGGTCCTTGCAGCAGCCTTCAGTCGCGGGCTTTCCATACGTTGGAACCCCCCCCCCCCCCCCCCCCCGCTGAATCCTCGCCCAGCAAAGTCTCACAGGAGCAATGAGGGGACAGGTGGAAAAGAGATTTAATGAGCTGGAGGAATTAAGACAGACGCAGGCCAGGCTTGGAGTCTGACAAAGGGGAAAGAGAGGCTGGCAGTCCAGGAAGAAAAGATTTCAGGTTTACTAGTCTCAGTGGTGGGATTCAAATACGTGAACAACCGGTTCTCTGTGTGGTTGCCGCTTCCGGAAGTCCATTCTGGGCCTGGGAAACAAAAAAACTAGCTACCGGTTCTGCCAAAGTGGTGCAAACTGGCTGAATCCCACCACTGACTAGACTCCTGATCTTCAAGGCCTTGCAAGGCAGGAGGGGCTGCACTCAGAGACAACTCCCCCCCCCCCAGCCAGGAAGAGGCAGGCAAGTCACTTCCGCACCTTTTTTGTTTTCTAGAAACAAATCAAGACAAAATGGGCTTCTGCAGGCAGAGAAATCATTTTGTGCAGGACCTGCCACATGTATTTCACGTTTAACACATTTCCAAATGCAAAAGCCTGGCCTGGGTTTTTCTTTTTAGGATTTTTTTTTCCCTCTTCCTTAAATTAGCAAAGAGGAAAACACCCCCACCCCTTTGCCCAGCCCAGCAGACGCCTGGAAGGGCTCTGCCAGCTGCCAACCCATTAAGAGTCCCAACAGGGAAATGCGGATATGGGAGGTGGCTCTTTATGCGTTCCTGTTCATCAGCCGTAACTTATTAGAAAATGATGCGCACCTTTGAAGGAGAGGGGAGGGGGGGCACTTGCAAGAGGAAAAGCAGCCCCCGAGTGCGACTGTTTTGAGTGGAGCTGGTGCGGCAGAGGGGCCTCTTCACAGTTATTCGCTCGCCGGCTCAGACAATTTTCCAAGTCTGATCGGACCGCAGAGAGCAGTCCAAATCTTTCCTGCAGCAGGAAATGTACCACCGCATCACTGACCCGCCATCGGTGGCCATTCAGCCCCTGCTCGGAGGTGGCAGCCAAGGGCCCCCTACACGCCGAGGCCCTCCCAACGCAGGCCAAGGACCTCCTCTCCTCTCTGGGAAAACCTTCATCCCTAACCCAATTAATTCTCTCTTCCAAGCTCCCGGCTTTCTTTTCGCCAGCCCTTTCCAAAGGGGTTGCTAAATATTCCCCGTGCCTTCTCATCGAGAAAAAATGCCTTCCACTCCGTGGGGTTTGCTGGAACTGTGAGGAAAAGCAAACGAGCCGCTCCATGCACCTGTGACAGACGAGGGCATCACCCTGCCAATTTAGACCTCCCCGGTTCTGGCAGAAGAGAGTCGCCCGGCAGCTGCTTTAGCTGCGGCTTCTTGGCGAGCAAAGGCTGCAAAGCGAGACATCACCGTCTGAGCGCCAACTGATGGGGCCAAAGGTCCCGAGAGACGGACAGCGAGCAGAAGCCGCATCCCTGGTTGCATCAGCCAGCCGGGACAGAGGCCGGCCGGCCTCCTCTCCCCCCCCCCGCGCAATGGCCAGGCATGCAGTTGCCCAACTAGGTCCCTCTCGATGATCAGGTAAAGGGCTGCCCATTAACCCCAGAGCCTGGCACACTTGTCTAGAGCCCTCTTCAGGGACTGGTCAGGAGATCCACCCAGGAGGGCAGAGGCCTGGCATTCCCGCTGCTGGCAGCGCAGCCAGGACCCAAAGGAAAGAGAAACTGGGAGGATAACCCCAAGCGGGGCCAGCAGGTGACTCTCCAGAGGTGAGATCCCCTGACCAGGCTCTCATGGGTGCCCGCAATAGCACGCTTTGATGGCTTTGCAGGTACAGTGTATGAAACCAGTCAAACGTAGTTTGTCATGTTATGGGTAAGCAAATTATAACTTAACATGAAATATGAAACCAGACAGATCCTGGTTCCCCAGTTCCCTGCCCTGGATGCCACAGCAGTGGTCTACTGGTTGGGCATGTTTTATGTAACTGTTCTGATGTCCGGTACATGCTTGGAGCTTGTCGGAATTCAGGGGCAGGAACTTCAGACTGCAAATAAATCAACATCCTACCTGGGGAAGGGCAAGACTAGGCTGGTGCTCCATTTCAGCCAGACAAGGATCCAAGCCTGAATATCTCAGGGTTCCCGCAGAACGAAACAAAGCAGCCCCCGTTTCAGAAGGGTCTTTAATGAGAACTGCTTCTCCTGCCTCTGCAGCGGCTCTGAGACCCTTCTAAGCCCAGGCGCAGCTCTGTGAAGCCCAACCTGTCAGGCAGCACTAATGAGGCTGACTTTAAAGTCAGCTGCCCCAAAGGACCTGTTGAAAGAGAGCGCCAGGAAGATCAGATCCCTCCTTGTCCCCCTTTCCTGCAAAGGAGCATCCTGCCTGCAGCTCCCTTTCCAGCTCCAGCAATTAGCACCTGGTAAATGACGCACTTTCCGCGCAGGAACACACCTGTTTGCATTCAGCCAGGCAGAAACATGCATGCGTTTCCAGAGCGGTTCTTGGCGAGGCCCGAAGGCTAGAAGGGCTCGGCCTGTCTGAAGTGGGCGCTTGCGTGAACGTGGCTGGCCCCCATTCCCTGCCACCCCTGGGCCCTGGGCTGCGAAAGGGAGAGCAATGCCCAGAAAGCCCACCCAGGGCGAAGGCAACCGGCCCCAAGGAAAAGGAGGGTCTGTCTGGATCTTTTCCAGGGAGACCAGAAGCCACCAGGAAAGGCAGGAGACCCCACAAGCAACGTTCCCGCAAGGGCCCTTCTGCCCCCTCTCCAGCTGTAGTTCCCTGTCCTAAGCTGCCTCGCCAAAATACGCAGGAGAGAAAGGCAGAGCGGGCGCCCAGCAGCCGAGTCTGTCGTCTGAACGCGTCCGGCAGGATTGGATTCAGAGAGGGGCGCTTCTCCTCCTGCTTTCCGCACTCCTTCCGAGGAGCAGCGGCCGGGAAAGGCTCAGACTTAGGAAAGGGATGAAGCCCCCGGCAGAGCGGGACTTTCCCGGAGCTCTGGGGAAACCCAGCTTGACTTCCCAGGCGAGGAGTTTCCCCGCACGGAACCGCTGCAGTCGAGCCGGCCCAGAGGGGGAGCCCCGCCCGCTCTGCCCGGCCCGGCCCGTGGGCGAGGCTGCCGTGCCCCCTCCGTCTCCCGAGGCTGCAATGAACCTCCTCGGGGGATCCGGGATCCCGGTCCAGGAGGCGCTTTTCCTCCCTCCCACCCCCGGTCCCAGGCAGGGCGGGCCAACTCGGGAGGCAGAAACTTTTGCCGGACGGGACAGACGGGCCTTCGCGCCGGAGAAAGACTCGGGGCCGCCCCCTCCCTGCCCGGGGGACTCCCTGGCCGGCGGAGGCGGAGAGCGCGGCTCGGAGCCGGCAGGGGGGCGCGCGGGCAGGCGGAGCTGCACCTGTTGACCCTCCGCCGGACGCGCGGACCCAACCCGGGGCCCGCGACCTGGACGGTTCCCCTCCCGCCCGCCGCCCGCCGCCCCCCCCTCTCACCAGCCGTGGCCACGCAGCTCCTCGGCAGCCGGCGAGGGAGGCAGGAAGGGAGGAAGGGAGGAGGCGGCCGGCGGGGCGCGGGCTATCTAGCGCGGGCAAGGGGCGGGCCGAGCGCCAGCGACCGCCTCCTCCGGGCGGGCTCCCCCGGGGCCTCGAGGGGAGGCGGGCAGACGGGGGCGAGGCGGTTGCGCGGGGAGCTCAGGCGAGGAGCCCTCCGGCTGCAAAGGAGCCGCCCTCGCCTCCCCCGGCTCCAAATCTGGCACCGGCCGAGGCGCAAACGCCGAGCGGAAGGCGGGACTGCCGAGCCCAGACTGCCCGCATGTCGAGAACCGGGGCCGCTGCTCTTAGGCAAACCTCCCGGAGTTTTCGCTGGGACCGACCTTCCTAAGACGACGGTGCGTTATTCTCTGTCCTGCCGCTGCTTCGTTCAAACCAGATCTTAACACCGAACCAGGAGTTCCCAGAATTGCCCAAAAGCCGAAAAATCAGAGCGCCAAACCCCAGGCACCATTTCCCTTGGACAAGTCTTGTCAAAGTCCCGTGTCCGTTTCAAACCAGAAAATCATCTTGAGATATGGGGGGTTTTAATTGCCAGTGGCTGGAGATCACTTGGGAGAGCAAATTATGCCTTATTGTAGCGCCTCTTGCTGGCCAGACCTCGAATCTACAAAAACATTTCCCCAAAACGCTCCAGCCTCAAAAACGCAAATGCCAAATTGGCAGCAAATTCAGTCTTAACTGCCCGCAGACATCAGCAGGACAGGTGGGAAGGGGCAGCTCCTTGGCTGTGGGAGCAATTCTGCCAGGTCAGCTAAAAAATGGGCAGAAACCTCAGGGCACCAGCAGGCATCTTACTACAGAGACCCAGAATTGCCAAAAAGACGTGTAGTAACTAACAAATAATAAAAGGTTTATTTTTCTTTTTAGTGATAGCAGCAAATTTGCATATATAAACTACAGCAGGGTCCCTCTTCCTGGGATGTCTTTTCTTTCCCCCTAAATCTTTGTAAGTCCTCCGAGACAACTGCCCTGGATTGCTGCTCATTATGCCAGTTGAGAAGCTGCAATCAGCCACATCTAGAGGAAACCAGAGGGAAAAGCCTGCTGGAGACATTTGTTTCTATGGGTTGCTGTGGGCATCCTTAGGTGTGTAGTTTTCTAGCCCCATTCTACACTACTTGGGCCTCTATACGGGTCTGCCTGAGAAGGTAACAATATATCAAGGAAAACAGTATCTTCAGACCAAATACATTTTTATTGCAGTCTTATTCCTCCTCTGAAACATTAAGGACAGCTTATACACCCCAGGACATTACAATCACTATGACAGCATACAGGAAAAGTGAAAAGAAACAAGAAATGGCTGTTTAAGCTTCCAATTTCTTTCCACCACAGGCACCCAGTTGTTCCTTGGACCATATCCCAGCTCAGGCCAGGATAAGCATAAAAAACAGTGACAGGGGTGGAAAAGGGTCTTGAGCTACACCTTGCAAAAAAAGTCTTTTCTCCCTCCCTTCTATTCAGCTGTCCAAGAAGATAATGAGCCATGCTTAGCTCTCCTGTCTTCCATCTACTGTTTCTCCAACGGTGGCTGGAAAATCTTGCCAAAACCACCTCTTCCTTCATCGTAATCCCTTCTGTACTCGTCTCTTACCTGGAGAGAGAAAGAGAGGGGAAAAACCAAGATAAAATCGAGATGACCAGAGAAATTGGGCTGTCTGCATCCTGGGATGGAGGCCAGCCTTTACCAAATAACCACCACCTGCTACTCTGGATAGGCACTAGACAAGCCAGCCCTGGACGGTCACTCAGGAAGAGGCCTGAAGGCATCTTAGCCTGGAGGCAGCCTGCAATTGGCACATTTTCCTTTCCCGCTTGCTCTATAGCCCTGATACAGCCTCCCTTGGCTCGCGGACATTGCATGGAAAACAAGGCAGGGCTCAGGTACGAATGAAGCCTTCATCCTTGCAAGCCAGGGACTTACAACAATTGAAAGGCAATCTTTCCCAGGTCCTGGAATGATACATTCAAAAACTCCCATAAAGGGTAGTTACAGGAATTTGGGAGAGGTGACCGAGTGAGGGAAGCTACACAGTGGTAGAAGTGAGATCCAGAGATGTGTGTTCCTGCCCTTGGATGGCTCGGCCTTCAAGTGTTATGGGATCTGGCAAAACATAAAATAAACTTCAGTGCTTCTGGACTTCTGAGATCTGGCACCACAACTCGGGGTCTCCAGAGGAAGGGAGCCCTCGGTGAAGTGGGGCCTTCGATGCAGTCTCCTCCCAGTTACCCGTCTTTACCTGCCCGCCTGAGTTGCCACGGCCGTATTGCCTCCCTTCCCTGAAGCCTACATCCCAGTCTGTCCGGATAACACGGTCATCCAGCCGGGTTCCGCTGATGAAACGCATGGCATGCTCGGCTTCAGCTTTTGTGTAGTATCTGGAGTACTATTTTAGGAAAGATTCGCGGGATCAGGCTCCGAGGTCACAGAGAGCAGCCTGCTTCTCCCGGAGAACAGCAACCAGGACAGAAACCCTTAATGCAGATGCCGCAAACTCTCTTGTCCAGCCCCCTCCAGGCAAAAGCACCACGGAGCAAAATTTGGGAGACTCCCTTGCCAGGAAGAGACGCCGCGAGGCAGAGCAAGGCAAATGGGGCCCCCCAGAGGAGCAGCCTGTCCCCCCCCCCCCCCCGCGTGCAAGGATACTCCACGAAGCAGAAGCCGCAGGGCGTCTTCTTGTGCTTGTCCAGGCCCATGATGATGCGCTTGACGTCCCCGCACTTGGAGAAGAGCTCGTGGATCTGCTCCTCCGTGGTGTAGAAGGAGAGGTTGCCCACGTACAGCGTGGAGGAGGACTTCAGCTCTTCCCCCTGCTCCTCCTTCCGGCCCTGCAAAGCAGCCCCGCGGGGCCCATCAGCCCGGCGGCCGGATCGGCCGGCCCTCCCACCTGCCGCTGGGGAATTCTGGGACGCGCTTGTTCAGGCAGCGCCGGTGGCGGAGCGACACCCGAGGCGCCCAGCGAAGGCCGGAGCTGGGGCGGGCAAACCGAAGGCGTGAACCCCAGAACAGGCAAAGGGACCCATCATCTCCCGCCCGTTCACACGCGCCCAAGATCTGCTCTGGGTCCCGGGAAGGCGCTCCGGCCGGGCGCGGGTTTCTGGGCATGCGCAGAGCGCCCGCGGGCCGCGGCCGTGAGCAGAGCGGGTCCAGAGAGCGCCCCCGTACCTTGTAGAACTGCTCCACGTAGTCGCTGAACTCGCAGTACAAGTCCCGGGTGAGCATCTTCAGGGTGGCGCCGACCGTCCCCGACATCTTGAGCGGCGAGCCTGGCGGCCTGAGGCGCTCAACTCCGCCGATCGGCAATTGGCTCGCACGCCTGTCGCTCAGAAGAGCCCTCCCCTTCCCGAGGCCGCCTCATTGGGCGCCCTAGCGCGTTCCTAGCAGCTTGGCCGCTAGGGTTGCCGGGAATTGTGGTCTGCGCGGCGAGCCTCACCGCCCGAAAGGCTCGGCCTCGGTGGTCGGGGCGAGATTCCCGGCATGCTTTGCGCAGAAGGCGGAGCGACGACGTTTGGGAGGGAAAACTGGGCGGCCCTTTTCTCGGCCTCTGGCGCGCGGGCTGGCGCCCCCTTCAGTCGGGGCTCTTCCTTTCGGGGGGAGCCGTGATTGAAAAGGCTCCTTTCAGCTTCAGCAGGTGCAGCGGCAGAAGCACGCCCGACCTAGAGCATTGGCGGAGAAGAGCGGTACAGGGCAGTGTTTCTCACCTGGGGCAACTTTAACAAGAGTGGACTTCAACTCCCAGAACTCTCCAGCTGGGGCATTCTGGGAGTTGAAGTCCACTCCTCTTAAAGTTGCCAAGATTGAAAAACACTGGATAGAGTGGCCAAACATGAGGAAGAATTTGATTAAAACGTGTGAACATTTGTAGGCACTTTATCTGTGCAGATTAATCTGCAGCTCATGAAAATCCACACCTTTTAAACAAATTGGCTATTCAGAAAAGGTGATCCCAGGCCCCTGCTGATATAAAATTGTTATCGGACTCATTCTCACTTTTAAAAAAATATGATATAAAGCTTGTTCCCCAAAGAAAAGTTCGCTGGTGAGCTTCTTCTATGGAAGTACATTCTCAGAAGCACTCTTGCCTGGGCTTTAATCATTGTCTTAGTTTATTTCTTCCCCTCAGGTCACCTAACAATCTCTTGGCCATTGGAAATTAAATCTTCAGTAAGAAGGAGGAGGCATTCTATACATGCTCAGGGGCCTTCCAGAGGGCAGCGTAGGGTTTGCTCAAGACAGATTTTCTAAGTAACATTTGTAAAGAAGACTGGTTGGCTAACAATGTAAAAACAAAGTGCTGGCTGGCTGGCCAGAAAGAGGCTGTGAAAGGGCAACAAATGGACTTCACTGGGTCAACAGAAAGCTGGTCCTCATTGCAGTTCTGTCAACCCAGCAAAGGCTGAAGGATGCCCAAAGTAGGAAAAATGTAGGAAAGATAATCCGTTAAGATATAAACTACTAGAACAATTAAGATTGTAAATTCTTTTCAAGGGCCTGTTATTCTATATAGCAGAAATGGAAGATGAAAGAGACAGTCTGGAAATAAGAGGTAACTTTTGCATAAAGTAATGAAATATTTAACTTTTTTTTCTCTGTGCAGGTTCTTTCAAACCTGTTGTTTCAAAAAGATTTCTGATTCTGCTCTGGATTCTATTTAACAATTTGAGTTTGTTGGTCAGAACCAGAGTGTTTGTCAGCACCGTTATCCCACCCATATTAAGCATATTAAGGATTGTTGTAGGATTATTTTACAGATCTAAACTTCCAAAAGAAGGACAGCCTCTTACAATCTTTCCCAATGCTGCTGGGAAATACAAGAAAAGGCCACTTCCCTAGCAGACACTTGACTGTTTGAGGAGATGGCATCGCCTGCTTCAGGATTGTGGTTGGGCTTGATCAGACTTGGATAGGATGGCCTCTATCCTTTCCTGACTGTCTCTGCCCACTGCACTGTATTTCCTCTTGACTCACTTCTGTCCAGGCGGCTTCTGATGAGAAGAGAAGGAAACTGCACTCTGCAGTTTTTGCAGCAAGGCCAAGATGACCCCTGATGCCGAATCCTAAAGATAGACTCTGCTTAGGAGAATTCTTATTTAAATCCCATCAGCTGACATCCTTGGGCTCTGGTATTTTATTTAGCTATTGGGACAAGAGAAAGAAAATGTAAGTTGTCTGACTTGAAAACAATTTGCTGCCTCTACTTTATTCTAATATTTCTTTCAGGATTAATTCAAGAATTGATGAACCAAGAGACATTATTTGCTATATCAGAAAGTATTGAGAAGCTGTTCGGCAGTATACAAAGTATAAATAAAGAAAAGTGGAAAGAGAATCAGAAAGCCCAGGTAGAGAAAAAAAAAACAAGGATCATTAAAGGTAACAGGTTGAAAATTTAAGGAAGTAGCCCATCAAAAAATCTGATTACAAACATTTGATGTGTTAGTTAAATACTTAATATTCGCTCTTCCACATATCTCCAAAGGTGTAGAACACCTTACTATGCATTAGCCCAAATCTTTCTCTCACTACAGCAGCATAATTGAGCAAAGAGTGAAGAGAGAGGGTCCAACTGCTCTTGTGAAATGATACTTGTTGATCCATCTCAGATTAGCAGTGGTCTGCCAGCACCTGCTAGGCCATCTTCTGTCCACCTCTGTTCTTTTGTCCCTCTAGTTCCTCTTTCTCTTTTCTACATTTTCCTGGAATTCCAAATGTCCTATGATGAAATTAAATAATCAATGCATAGCTTTAACATTTTGGCTATTTTATTTGTATATAAAGGATTTATATGAATTTTAAGGGTTTTCAATTTTTGTCCTTGTTTTTTTCCCCTACAGGTTGAGGAAAGTGCAGTTAACTTATGGAATTGGACTGTGGCAAAAAAAACAGCTCCTGGTATCACCGATATGCAAAGAGTTAAATGTCAGTTTGAATTTGCAGCCATATATCACAGCAAAAATATTTGATTAACTAAAATGAGTAAAATGTTTTATGTTTATCTTCTTGTATGACCTCTCATGAATGTCCTTCTTGAAAAATCTATAGATGTTTTCTACCTTTTTGTGCCCCATTAAATCATAGTGTTTGCAATTTAAAAATATTTTGTTTCTAATGTCAGCACTAAAGGGACTCAGAGGCAGATACCTGACATTAGGTTTTGTTATGTTTTTTTCTGAAGTTGATGCTGGAGTGAATGAATTGGAACAAATGGAAATGGTGAACTGAGCACAGCATGTATCACTAACAAATGTGTTGCCCTCCTTACTGTTTACAGATATTTTGCATTTATTCCATGTCACAAATATTTGTTTTCTTATCTATATTTTCACTGAGAATTGAAATAGTTAATGTCTTTGCATATTTCTGTAGTACGCCATGTTGCCTGCAACCTGATGATGTTTTGTGAAGTAGGTGATTCAAATGAGGAGATGATACGAAGGCAAATTTTGGTAATATAGTTTGTGTCCAAATATTATTTATGTTTGTCTTCTGCTTCCTGAAATGCTAGAGAGCTGATAAGGTTCAAGAATGTTAGAAGAATATTGTTTTCAAATACATTTCAAATTTTTATTCTGTCTCCAAGAGAAATTGACAGTAGTTTGGGTTTGTTGCAAGCCAGAGAAGTGATGTAGAAATATGATAGCATGATGTATATTCTTACCTTAACAAATAATTGTTGATGAAGAGTATGCCTAAAGCAACCACATTATAAAAGTCTCTAAAAGATTACATGAAATATATCTAGTTTCTAGATTTGCCAATATTTCTGTTTTCTTTTAAATTTGCATATGTCTTTTATGATCTAGATGTTAATGAAGACTGGAAAAGGTTGGGTGGATGTTGGAAAACCTGCCCTTGCAAATGATTTCCTTGAAATTGCCCTGAGTGTAAGTTGAGGCTTTCTAACGTTTGTAAGTTTTTAGTAAGTGACATAATAGTGGTTGCATGTAGTTTTAGCCTATTATGTGCTTTATTTTACAGGATCTAGAGAAACTTTATGCCCAGTTGAACAAGAACTGCAGCAGTGAGGCTGAGGCGAATATGCACAAAGCTGACATACAGAGGGATATATTCAAAGTTCTGTCTTACCAGGCTGAATCTGTATGTTTGAAAAATAATTCAATTCATTGTAGCAGCATAATGGCAACAAGTGGATTTTATCTGTATTGTTATTATTCAGTAACAACATTACAGTAACAATATTCTATAATTCTATGTTCAATCTATATTATGCAGTTCATTGGATTGCTGCCTCCCATATAGCTACTTAATCTGATATACCACTTTGTTAGCACTCCTCTAATGCAAAATTCTATTAATTTTTTAACCATTAATTTAAAAGAAATCCATGGATCATCCAAGCAATTCATTAGCATATCATGTTGCTTTCTTAGGCAGTTGCTTTAGCAGATTTTCAGAAGGCGGTCATGTGTGTTCAACGGTGTAAAGACATCCTGATAAGGCTGCCAAAAGAGGTCAGGTTAAACACCTTTTCATTTTGTTGTACTGTCCTGGTCCTCCAGAACTATGAAAAAATAAACTTGGTTAATTCCCAGTTTTTTAAAAACAACAATTACAAAACTGGTATAAATTACTCTAATTTAATTACAGGTTTGTTACCTTTTTCTCCTATGCTATAACTTTGGCATAGAAACATACGAATTCAAGAGATATGAGCAGAGTTCCTTTTGGCTCAGGTAATTTGACTCTATTACTTTTGACTTAGGTAATAGTTTGATAAGCAATAAATAAAATGTCCAATTCTGCCCTATGTATAGCCACTGAGATTTAAAACAAGCACTTATCAGAAGGAGTGATCTGATGCTGTCTAGTGATTTAGAGATTCTTCTAGCTGCAGATGTAGTCAAGGCTAAGGTAATTTTATAAGTGCATTTGAAGGGCCCAGGTGGTTTGATGCAAAAGAAGGGGAAAAAAGTAGAAACTCTGGATGTTGCTTCTTTCAGAATTCCCTTAACTCCAGCTTTCTTTTTCTTAAATAAAGCAATCATCACTATTCAGTTATGTAAACTTGCAGGTGTAATTTACTTATAATAAGGTACCATTTAAAGAAAGTTTGTGCGTGTGATTTATTTCCGGATTAAAGAGAGAAAACTTGCACAGTCTCTCCAAATGCTTGCATAATACATGCATGCTGGCTTTTAAGTAACAAAATAGAGTGCTTATTTAAAAAAAAATTATATCCAGGTTATTTGAAAGAATAAGCATTACTGTAGTATATAATATAAATAGAGCAGCGGTTGCCAACCTTTTCTATACCCTGCACTCCTAGAATGCTTCTGATATATTCTCGCACCCC